CAATGAAGAAGTTAGATGTGAAGACGTAGGAGAATCGTGGGAAGTAAAAGACATCGTGGACTCTAGAGTAAATATGTCACAAAGTGTGTGACAAGTCGAGCGAAAGTCGGGGAAGGGTATTTAACCAGCGATCGGCGGTAGTGTTAACCGCCGATTAATAGGCCTTTTCGTCGCAGTGGTTAAGATCACTGTTCCGTTGGGCACTGTTATATCGTGCATATGCTGGTCAGTATGTCTCGTGACAAAATAAGAGGTCAGGAAAGTTAGAGTACCTAGTAGAGTGGTTAGGTTACGAAGGAACAGACGATTCGGTATCATGGGAACCGGTAGAGAACGTCGATGGAGCTGATGACATATTGGCGAAGTTCCACGAACTTCATCCTACTAAGCCGAAGGAAGGGCGACTGCAGAGGGCTAGGAGGTAGAACGTACTGCATACAACATAGGATTACAGCTACGTACCGCTCACTTGCCCGTATCCTTACCCTTTCCTTTTCCTTTCTCCTTCGCTCTACTCGGTCCCGCGAGACTGGTGTGGAGAGTACCGATGGCCGAAGGTAGATCGAGACTGTCAGGGGGGAAGACAGTCGAGAGAGAAGCGTTCCATGCCCGATTCATAGCCCCAAAGAAATCACCAAAGTCCTGGACATCCCGAGCAGCTTGCATGCTCGGAGTCCTCCACAGAGAACGTATGGTCCTAAGACACTCGGAAGGAAGACTGAGGAGATCGAGAGCAGTCTGAGCAGAAGCAGGAACTCGAGAACTACTCCGGGGGCCTAACCAGCCGATGGACGGTGGTGGCTCGTACGCCATAGGAGTAACGAGGAAGGGGGTGTCGTAAAGTCTTCGGCGAACATTGGCTATCTCAGTAAGGCTTCGGCGAGAGACGTCCGCTAACCTCGTCCTTGCTTCCTCGTTCAGATTCCCACCGTTGACTACATTTACTAACCCCGCAGTAAGGTTATTCAAGGCGTTGGCTTGACGAGTGGAGAAGTCAAGCAAGAGAGATGTATCACGTCGAGCGACGTCAAGCTGAGTGGTGAGGCCGAGAACGAGAGAACGATACGTAGCAAATTCTTTCTCGTCCTCCGGGATACGAGGGTCCAGGGAGATGCGAGGGTGGACGAAGGACAACCGAGGAACAGAGGGCCCAGCACGCTGAGTAGCTTCATCTTCCACATCACCAGCTTCAAAGACGACCTCTTTCTCCTTCCTTTTCCCTTTTGATTTCTTTAAAGAAGACTTCGGGGTCTTCTTAGAAGCGGGGGACTCGGTGACAGGGGCGGCCGCTGGGGTGGCCGGAGGAGCAGAAGGACGGCGACTTCGGGTGCCGTGGGCCGGAGGAGAAGCCACCACAGGAGAGGACGGACGAGGGGCCGAAGGACGAGAGGCCGAGGGCCGAGAGGTCGAAGGACGACGGGAGGACGAAGGAGGAGCAGCCAGGAGACGCGACGGGCCGGCCACAGGAACAAAGGGCGAGGGCGAGGGAGGTGACGAGCGGGAGGACGGCGAAGTTCGGCAAACCGACCGGAGAGACGAAGACGGTACCCGCGAACGGGGGACAGACGCTGGAGTCTGGGGAGGGGGGAGAGGAGAAGCGTCGAAGGGACGGGGCGGGATGTCCCGGGCAGAGGAAACGGGACAGAAGGAGCAGGGGCCAGACGTGCATGAAGCACAACGGAGAGCCTTGTTGTGTGGCCTGACTGCCTTGAGGCAGGGCCAGTTTGGACGATTATACGTGATAATCTCACGTCTACTAATTAGCAGGAGTAACTTCGGCGTAGTACGAATAGGTGGACTCACCGGCAACGATCACACGCTTCGTCAACACCAACCGCGATCCAACGACCAGGCTCGGACTTCATCTTCTCCCACAAGTACTCTTCTTCCCGCAGTGATCTCTTCACCCGTTTGGGCGAAGGCTCCCCTCTGGGAGAAGGGGGGGGAGCGGCGGCGGCAGCAGAGCGGGCGATGGCGGCGGCAGGGCGGGCGGCGGCAGCAGCGGCGGCAGCGGCGATGGCGTTGGCGGGGGGGAGAACCCCGGAAGAGGAAGAAGAAGAGGAAGAAGAAGAAGAGGAGAGGGAACGGCGTCGTTTCTGGCCCACAATTTGAGCAGGGGGAGGGGCAGGAACGGCTGCGAGTTAGCAATGTCTTGGAGAGCTAAAGAACAGATAAACAAGGCCAAGTCGGCGAGAGCTAAAGAACAGATAAACAAGGCCAAGTTCGGCGAAGGTGTGAGAGGTTGGACGAAGAACTCACGCTCAGGACTATCTACGTTGTTGTCCTCTACACTAATCACCTCCACATCATCATCCGGGTATTCTTCTAACTCGCTTTCACCCTCACTATCGATCCTACCCTCCCGATCATCATCATCCTCACTTTCTTCGGTGTCGGGTCGATCACTCGACTCCGAGCCCCCACTGAGCGAGTCCTGGTCGGAGGAGGACGGAGACTCACCAGGACAAAAGGCGGGCGTCCTACGGCGAGGAGTGGCGGCAGGAGGGGGCCCTCCAGGAGAACCCGTTACGGGGACGGGAGAACCAGACACGGGGGAGGGAGAACCAGCGGAGGGAGAGGCGGAGCGAGGGGGCGAGGCAGCTCCAGACGGCTCCCCCAGAGAGAGAGTGCCGAGGCCGAGGGAGGAGACTTGGCGAGATCTGTCGCCGAAAGAAACTGAACATCAGCCAAGTTCGGCGAGGTGGGGTGAGTATCGATGAAAACTCACGAGCAGATGACACCATACCACCAAAGTTCCTCATGGCGGCGAAAGGGCTGGGTGTGGGAGTAGAAGGGGCCATGACGTTAAGATATTTAACAGAGAAATAAAACTCGAGGCGATGATTCAAGGTAACAAATCTGTTTTCTAGGTAAGAGAGATAGAAAGTTTTGAAAGCAGATGGGAAAAAGAGAGAAGCTCGACGAACTGCTCAGTATTTAGTATAATCAAACCTACCCCCTCGTCGTCAACATGCAGCAAACTTCGCGTTTCATCAACAAAAGGCATCGCAGGGACGATCAAAATTCCCACGCTATAGTGTCTCATCTCAATATAAGCGAGGGTTACTTCGACAAACAACGGTGTTGTTCGGCTGCCATTCAGGAAGCGTGTCTCACCTACAAAAGACACAGGGCTTCTTACGGCAAACCTCGACGAAGTTAGGGGAGTCTCATTGTCGGGTTTTGGAGTGAAAGGAGGCCCAACTACGAAGTGCGGTGCAAAGAGCAGAAGGGTGAAGGATGGTCATGGGGAGGGAGAGAATGGGGGTACTACGCTGCTAAGTTCTCTTGCCACAACAGAGGTGTAATCGCTCACGAGGACGTTCGCGGCTAAAGAAGGGGGCGACTGTCACGAACTACGTCGTGACACCTCGATTACTCCACCAACAATGACCCTCCTTTGGCCATCAAAACCCCATCACGTCTTAACCTCTTTACTCTACACGTAACTCAGGACTTCTGACACCAAGTACGGCGAAGTTAGACGGAGTTAGGCTAGGTAGGGACAATGGGAGCAGAAGTACGGCGAAGTTAGACGGAGTTAGGCTAAGTAGGGACAATGGGAGCAGAAGTACGGCGAAGTTAGACGGAGTTAGGCTAAGTAGGGACAATGGGAGCAGAAGTACGGCGAAGTTAGACGGGGTTAGGCTAAGTAGGGACAATGGGAGGAGAAGTGCGGCGATGTTAGGCGGAGTTAGTTGAAGGAGGAAGAGGATGGCCGAGGGCTCGGGGAAGTTGGACGAAGTACGTTGAAGTACGTCAAAGCGCGAGAGGGTTGGATGAACGTCTAGGAGGAGTAGATAATATTAGCTGAGAAGATCGCTGAAGTTCTTCAGCGATCCTTGATTGTTGTCAGTAGTGAAAGACAGATAGAGATAGCTATATACAAATCAAGATACATCGCCATCAGTAGAACAAAACCCCAGTTAGAGTAACTACGCCGAAATACGCCGTAGTTACACTCCTTTCGACGTCTGCGCCCTCCCGGTTGGGTGAGACATCGATTCAGGAGCGTCAAGTTAGCCGAGGTTCGTCGACCGTCGGTCTGCCAGAAGGTAGTTGTTCGACGGCCGTGACACTGGTTAACCAGCACCAGGCCATACACTGGCCATGCATGTGACATCTTATGCCACTGCGCTAAAAGGCACAATATCGCAATCAGCCCTATGATTGCGACCCGGTTATAACCTGATGTCACAACTGAGGTTGCAGGGTCATGACACCCACCTTCTAATCCTTTCCCCACTTCTCCACCAAGAATCAAACCATACTTGTGTGTCTTGAGAAGATAAGCAACTACTTGTAAAGCAAATTGCCAATATGTTTCCGGGGGAGCAGCATTAAACCGTGCTAGAAAGTTTGTTGCAAAGCTAATGTCTGGCCGTGTGCAGGCCGCTGTCCACATTAAGCTTCCAATGGCGGCTTGGAAAGGGGAAAGCGGTGCATGTTCATCGGTTTCACTGATTGCTGGTTCATCGTGATGCCGATTGGGAAGAGGAGCGGTCATTGGACAATGTTCTGAATGACCAGGAAATCTGGAAGTGACTTTGTCAATGTCTGCTGGTTGGGAAAGATGGATTCTTCTTTTTGGACAATCTCAAGTAACCTTGAGACCAAGAATCTGCTTCATTTCCCCAATTTCCGTCATAATCCATTTTCTCTTCAGCGCCTCCACTTGTAACGGTACTGGAAACACAAGTACTAGATCACAGGTTGGGACGAACTCGATGGAAGTCTTGTGGAAATCTAGGTGTCTCTTGTGCTATGTGATGGATCACGTCTCCTCTGCAATCGATGTAGCCAAAGAATGATATTGAAGAATCAGCAAAGTTGGTGCTTTGCTGATTGTACTATATACTGTCTACAAGTATCTGTGTCTCCTTCTCGTCCTACTACAAGCGTCTAAGTACATACTTGGACAGGTGGAAAACCGCTTTTGAGCAAACCCAGTGGGGAAATCTTGAAAAGGAAAACCTGTCCCTACCTAATGCAGCACTGCCTCCAAATCCCGCTTTCCTCCATCCTAATCAGTTGAACTTGATGGTGTTGCCTTGAATTGTTGTTACCCCGTAACACCACTACCCCAACAATTTCCTTATTTGTCTGTGCAGTTATGACCAAGTCATCAACATACACCAGGAGAATCACCAGTCCACCATATCTCCCTGATGTTGGGATGTACATTCCCCAGTCTCCCTCAGTCCTTCTGAGACCCTACTCCTCTAACGCTTTCCCAAGTTCTAACCACCACACCCTGGCTGATTGTATCAACCCATACAATGACTTTGTTAATGGGGTTACTGTCCCACTGTGTTGTTGTTCCATGGCTTCAGGATGTTCCATGTAAGATTCCTCATCAAGTACACCATTGAGATAAGCTCCCTCAACTTTGGCTTGTTGCAGTTCCAAAACAAATGTAGCAGTAATCATGAGAACTACTTGTACTGTTTGTTACCGTCTGTAGGCTACAGACAGTAGCTAGGTACAGATGGTATCTTCAAAGGGTAGGTGCAGATGGTAATTATGGTTGGTTGCTGCAGACAGTAGCTACAGGTGGTAATTACAGATGGTAACTACAGCCAGCAATGACAGTTTGTGAGTCCAGTCTGCAGTGACCATTTGCCATGCTTTACCTGCAAGCTCTTCTACAATACAATACAACACTATACGGCTATCTTACAGACATGGGTCACAACAGGGTTGTGACACATCTCACCAACCAACAGATTGACAGTCGGAGTCTAGCACTGTTGCTTGTAGGAGTGAATAATTTATTGCTGTAGAACCGGTGAGAATCAGGGCACCCAACTGGTACCCCACGCTGCTCTGGTGAAGCAGTGATAGATGGTGGTGTCACAAATTATAACATTACACCCCCGGACAACCACCATCATTGATCCTCCTTTCACCATCATCAACCCTCTGTCCATCATCAACCACCACTACCCTGAATCACTCAGACCATCTACGGGGAAGTTACAAGACCTAGGGGGTATTAGTCACAACACTCCGCCCCTGTGCAGACCCACTGTGGCGAAGTGAGGAGAAGGAGATCAAGCCATGCACGGGGGAGAGTGGAAGTAAGTGGAAGCACAGCGGACTGTGGCATAGTGAGCAATGTAGGATATTTGGAATCTGGCAAACCATGACAATATTGGATGAAGGAGGACTGAGCGCAAGGGAGTGCAGGAGTTGAGAGATATTCTACAAGGAGAGCAGCGAGGTATAGATAGTTTACAGATTGCTGAACTTCTTCAGCAATCCATGATTGTTGTCTGTAGCGAGAAATATATTCAGTAGCTACAACCATTGAGTTAGGGAGAGCTACCACCAAGCTGTTTGATGTAAGGTGAGGTTAGGGGCAGTTCATTGACGATTGATCATCTTATTGTCTATCACCCCAACGTATTACTGTGGTGTAGTCAGCTGTAGTCCTCCGACGAGTACCTCGTCTCTGTGAGACATCGAAGCCCTAGTACGATGTGGTCAGCCAAAGTCCGTGAACCGTCGGTCAGCTGAGATGAGAAGAAACGACGTTTGTGACAATACGCCTATTTTGGGGTTATCTTTGACACATTGAAGAACACAAGTGATGGATCGACGGGCACTTTTCATTGTCCCTATCTCTGCCAATCACGAACCACTCCTTCCGCCGTATCAGGTGATCATCCATCACATGGACCAGGAAATGGCATTGTATGTGTCGTGATACGATAAAGCCATTGGGATGAGTCATTGCACGAACGGCCTACTTGCTTATTGGGGGGTGTTCCAACCAGCTATCAGATACTGGTTGGAACCTTCTCAAACTACTCGTAGTAGATTGGTTGGTACTTTTGGGTGGCCTCGACCACGTCTCCCATGCCTTCTGAAAGCGCACTCCTTTATTCTATCTGATTGATTACCTTACTTTTATGGATTAACATACTGAAAGTCTACCCCAACCCCACAGTCATCATTCTAGATGACAATCATGCGCGTGTAGTTGTCCACATTACAACGAAACTATTGGATCATTGCAGCCTGAGTCCTTCACCGACAGGACCTAACAGAATCACAACGCTCACACGCGTCAGCTATTCATCCCGGCCATTTTCATCATCATGATGATTGTATACAAAAGAAAATGAGTGGGTCCATGAGGTGAAGGAGAGACTCAAGAACACCTACGCCTGGGTCCGCGCTGGTGGTGACAGGAGAAGCGGGCGCGGAGAAGAGAAGACCTGACCTCTGATGCACCGCAGGCGTCACCTCCCTTCACCCGTAGGAGAATACTGATGCAGGGGGGAAAGAGGAAGGGGGAAGGGTAAGCTTGAAGGAGATATCCACCCGCATCGCCTCCATTGTATCCCGGCCAAATGGCCATGCTAATCTTCCCTTTCATTCCATAGAAACTGAGAGCCAGACTCAGAGACTTATAGGCCTCATTCTCATCACAATCTCCTGATTCTTGCCAGCCACCCATCTATTCCAATTGAGACATCACTATCGTCATTCACGGGACTTCTGTCCAGTCCACAGCATGAATGAGTCGTTCACTTGGCTACCTCCTCCCCCTTCGGGAAGTACCGTCACCCCGAGTTCCGTTCCAGTACCAAGTAGGAAAAGGAAGAGGGGAAAATCCGTGACTCCACCCGACTTTATGAGTACCGCTGCCGGGCCTTTGATAGAGAGTCGAGCTCTCGGACAGGAATACAAAGCACTATTGCTGAAATTGGACCAGCTGACCGGACCGTATCAAAAATACAGGATCACTACCGGTAAAACAGACGGTCATATAGGCCAAACAGAGGGTTATTATATGACGGATCCTGAATGTCCGACAAGAAGTGTCAGGATCCGGTTCGTTAAGAATTTAGCAGACTGGCCGCCTCACAGGTCAGCTGAAGCCAGGGAGCTTTATGAACGCATTCGGGATGATCAATCCCTTGTGGAGTATGTCATCAATGTGCGAAACCCAGTCGATACAAGGAAGATGATGCCAGGGGAATCTGGCAGGAAACTATTGTTGTCTGTCTATGGGTCTCTGCAACAGTTTGAACCAAATCTATCTGCAGACAAGGCGTACTTGATCTCATTTGGTACAAGTTTTCTGGCAAGTCTAAGTGGAGAATGTCCACTTCTAGATCTCGTATAGGAGCCGTCCAGCTTCAAACCAATAAACGCATTGATCAATCGTGTGAAGGAACTCAGGGCACAAGATGAAGCCAGTCAAGCTACACAGCTCCAGGGTTTTGGGAGGGAGGGTGAAGAACTTTTTCCACATACATGTGATCCTGGACTTGTGGCTTCCACATCAGACTTGGTCAGTGAAAATATGGAAGCTCTTCAAGATTTGGAAGCTCTTCAAGATTTGGTAAACCAAACTGGAATGAGTAACAGTCTTGACAGTTCTCTCTTCAAATCTTTGAATGATTCAGGTCCCCGGCGGCTCACCCAGTCTCTCACTCCTGTCCCACTAATGACAGGGCTCCCAACTACCCGGCATTCGGGTCTAGATCGGTTGGACCAAGATCTCACATCTGATAACTCCATGTCGTTGCAAGCTCATAGAGTGCCGAAAAGGACAAGAAAAGCTCCTGATGACCCGTCTATCTCACATGATGAAATGTCCCATCTAAGGTCAGAGCTGATTACACTGATGGGTATGGACACTCGCTACAGAATTGACGGACATGTAAATGATTTCAGTGTAGTCTCCACGACTGACCCCAAAAACCATCAACCATATCTTGATTCTGGCAAAGGAAGACCGGATTCGTCACTGTACAAACACGCGGTGGCAGTACATGATTGCTATAAACTACACTCAGCAAGCAATCTGAACACCACTCTGGATAACAAGAAGGGAAGAACTCTTATACTGAGTCTCTATACATCTTTAAATGGTATGTGTTATTTTAAAAGGATTCCAGATCAGAGGAGAGCTATTGGGGGAGTTATTGCAACCATGACACAGGGGTCTGGGTTGCTCGTTGAGCGCCCAGCCAGAGACCTGCTCCGGCACTTTCCCGAGCTCAAAGCAGCTGTAGATGCTCTCAGAGAGGAAATGGTAATATGCCACGGGCAGGATGCTGTCACAAGGGCGCTAGCCACTGTTCACACCAAATATGCCTCTACTAGTCATGTCAGTGATCCTGTGGGGTGAGAGCAGGCGGGTCAGCCAACTAGGAGGAATCAAGAAGTACCGCATCTGACAGACATGGGCTGTTGTGACCACTTGCTTGAGTACTTGATTTGCAGTGTACATTCTAAATAGCTTTCCTCCCCCTCTTGTTGATAGTGACGCCACCAAGAGCTGTAGGTAGAACCCCGAGTAACTCAGCTGTGATCTTTGATGCATTCTGCCTCGTCTGACCAGCCAAAACCTCTTGCTCCCGTCATCGGAGGAGTGAATGGCTATGTGGCGGTCAATCGGTAGAATCGCCACAGTGCCACAGTGCCACATGCCGCCGATGAAACGCAATCACCCGTGCCTGCGCTGCCGGTTTCATCATTTTCCATCTTTCTTCTCCTCCTTTCCTCTTCCTCTTCCTCCTCTTGCCTCTTCTGCACCGCTCTCATCGGATCATACAATACTGGAAACTCTCCTATGACTCCAGCGTCGGCTCTGACTTTGGCTTACCCGGTGGCGAGAGGCCGGCGGAGGGGAAGGAGCTCAGTGAAGCGTGCATCCAACTGATTGGCCTTTGAAGGATACCCAGATCAATGCTGACGTCTTCTCTCACATCTCCGTCTCAAACCCATCACACTCATTACTGCTCGTAAGTGCATGCCGTAATGTCCAGTTTCAGCTTGTTCTCATTCCTCAAACATCTCACTACTTGACAAACATTCAAACCGTCATCGGACGAGCTCTTGCTGATCCCGTAGACATAAACAATGCCAACTTATACACCTCGACCCCCCTTGTCCACCTCGCTCATTCCGGTTTCATCGACCTTCTCTCTCTAGTCTCTTCTACTCCTTCTCGCTTACTGGGCTATCCCAGACTTTTGGATCAGGAAGAGCTGATAGGTGTTCGATGCGAAGACACAACTTCTCGGCCAAACGTAGATCCCGATGCTATACTAACACAAGAGCCAGAGATGAGACCGCCAAAGCCCCCGAAGAAGGATGTTCCAGATAGAGCGAAGGAGAAAGATGAGTTGAAGAAGAGAAAGGTAGACAAGAAGGACATTGGACCGCCGACCGATTTCAGGTATGTCATCGTGACATTTCTCGTGGTAGTCTGCGGCTGTCCCTGTGCCAACTTTATCTGTTCTGCTCCCACAGACGATCCCCAGTAAAGGACACAATAGCCTCAAGTAAACACTAAACGGCAGACATCTATTCCATGCGTCCACATATGAAGAAGCCACAGAATTACTCCTGCGATGGTCTTTGGAGGGCATCAACTCGAAACTGGGAGGTGAGTTTATCCCCTTCCTCCTGTAGCTTTACCTACCAGGACGATCCCTGCTCCTTCCTTGCTCCTCTCAATCCTATCACAGCATCGCTGTCGGGTGGTTGGCCACCTCGAGTCACATGGCCGTGCTCAATCACAGACCCCACATGGGCAGAACCCATCAAAGAACTCATCAAAGCCCGTGCTCGAGATCAGCAAGCTATAGCCGTAGCTGCCGTGGTGGAAGCTTCTCGAAACAGAAAACTTGGTGGTGGAAAGGATACGTAAGTCGTAACATGCTTACAAAGTCTAACCCTCACATTTGTCTTCCCAAAACGTGTCTTTACGTTCGTTATCATCACTGACCTTAAGTCAACCTCCTGGAACTCTGCGGGTCGTCAATGGACTGCCCTCTTCTATATACTCTACAGCCAATACGACCCTCTTCTCACCTCTTCCTACTCCTGGACCTCTGCGTCCCATCTCGACACCGACTCTTATTGCGAATTTGCCATCCTCTTACTTTGCTTCGGGATCGGGGCAGCGGACGCCTTCGAGTCCTTTGGTGAACCCGTTCGCTTCCGCCATCGCTAGTCTGGCGAGGGTTGGAAAGAAAGGGTCTTCCGCCGTACCTGCGGTACCTCCCAAGGCTTCAGCTTCTACTGTATTGTCAGTGGTCACCTCGAGCAATACAAACATTCCTGATCTTACTCCTGTTCCCAATACATCTGATCATGGCGATAAGGAGAAACCTCGAAAACCTTCGGTCACGCGCAAACCTCCCAAAAAGGCACGTCCCCTACCTCCCCCAACTCACCTTCCTACAACAAAAACAGCCACAGGTCTCAAACCTTTGGGTCCTCGTCCTCTCCAAACAGATGAGAAGATCCGGGAAGAAGACCTTCAAGAAACGCTTCCATTCAGGATCATCAAACCTTCGCTCGAGACTTTGGAAAAGGCAGCCTCCATCGGTCTCTTTTTCGAACAATTCTATCACGCGCTGCTGAAACCTCCCTCCAAATCTTCGCGCCCCCCTCACCCAGGTAACTACGTCCTTACGCGTGCCCGTCGTCTGCAACAATTGGAGGATAGCTTTCTGATACCAGAAAATAGGTTCATGAGTGAGGGCGAAAAGGAGAGACAGAGGCAAGAGTTGATCTTGGAAGAGAGTCGCCTGTTGAGAGAGAAGAGAGCAAAAGTGGATGTCAAAGCATTTGAAATGGGTCGGGTAATTGGACATGGTGCTTTCGGGGTGGTGAGGATTGCTAGGGAAAGAAGGTCGGGGAGGTTGGTAGCTATGAAACAGCTACGAAAGGCCGAGTAAGTCAACCTTCATCCAGGAAAACTGCCCTTCCTCATATTCCGCAATTCTGCCAGGGCATCATCCTCATTCGGTATTCTCTCTGCCAGCTCTAACGTCGCTCATGTCAGTATGCTACGAAAAAACCAAGAAGCCCATCTCCGAGCCGAGAAAGATCTCCTGGCAGCAGCCGCTTCTCAATCCCTCCCCACATCTTCCAACTCTTCCACTTCCTGGATTGTCCGATTATATTATGCATTCCAAGATACCGACCATCTTTACCTTGTGTTCGAATATATGGGTGGTGGTGACCTTCTCAATCTCCTCGTTCAACTCGATACCTTTCCAGAATCCATGACCCGGTTCTACATCGCGGAGATGATCCTCGCATTGGAAGAAACACATAATCTCGGTTATATCCATAGAGACATTAAACCTGACAACTTCTTGTTCACTCCCGATGGACATATCAGAGTGAGCGATTTCGGACTAGCGACGGATTTACACTGGGCGCATGAGAGTGGATATTATGAACAACAGAGAGAGGCTTTGTTGAAGAAACACGGAGTGGATCTGGAGTATCCCACCATGGGAAAAGGAAGGAGGATGAGGAGAGAAGAGGTTGAGAGGGTGTTGGGGAAAGAATGGTTGACGGAAGGGAAGGGGGTTTTAACTTGGAGAGACAGGAACAGGAGGAGATTGGCATATTCCGTTTGCGGGTGAGTTGATTGTTGGCATAGTACAAGTAAAGATCATTTCTGACGATTAGGACAAATTCTTATATGGGTTTGTCATTCCGTACTTCTGCCTCATCTTCCATTCTCACTTTGAGACCAAGCAGCCTCTCATCACTCTGTATCACCATCCTATAAACCATGAAGTACCCTCTCGTTAAAAGTCCTCTTCGATCTGAGTTAGCGATTGTGTTCAAAATGAGATGAAGGCTATCAAGGAGGTCAATTATAAGGACGGGGACAACTTATTTTTGGCGATCACTGACATTCAGCTCCTGAAGTCATACGTGGTCAAGGGTACGGATTCAGCTGTGATTGGTGGAGTCTTGGAGTGATCAGTGAGTCGCATACGTCAAATTGGTCTGGATGAGTCGCTTATCATCAGTGTATGAAAGTTTGTATGGATATCCCCCGTTTGTCAGCAATTCAGTCAGTTATCCTTTTCATTTCAACCCCCAACATGGGTCGCGTCTTGTTCCAAAAGCCCCGTGATATCGGTCATGTGATGGTTGAGCTGACGATTAGCGACATGTCACCAGACAAAAGATGTGAGTCGCCATCTCATCTCAGCTAGGTACCCTCACCCCAGCTCTCATCAGGTGTTTTTCCTGTTACGCCAACCTTCCATCTGCCATGCAACACCAACTTACTCACTTCCCCTCCTCATCGGCTATGCCGTTCGCAGCACGAATTCGTATCAGTCCATGTCCCACCATTGCTATCCTCGGACCGCTTCCGAATCTCACTGCTCAGTAAATGTCCCAGTACTGCGTCAAAGCTAACTTTGACAGCCTGAACTGGAGAACAACCCTCAAATTCCCTCCTCATCCACGTCTCTCCCCCGATTGTCTAGACCTGATGACAAAACTTCTCTGCGAACCCGAAGACCGACTCGGGTCCACTCCCGCTTCTGCCATTTTGACGACTCACACCAGTCGAACGGGTATGTCGACGATGACGACTGTATCGACTTTGTCGAGAGGTGGGTTGGGTCTGGGGAGCGATGGGGCGGATAGGATAAAGGGACATGCTTGGTTCAGGGGGATCGATTGGGATCGTGAGTTTGTGTCTTGCACATCTCTCCACTTCGCATCATTTCGTCTTTTCTTCTAATCCTCACTCCCTTCAATATACTTGCTGACTTGTGTTCCTCACTCCCCTCACCCTACTTCACGTCTGCCTCATCAGCTGGCGATTGCCGGTTTGCAGTATTACTTTGTTGGTCTTCAAGAGTCCACTGGGGCCACTAACACCTGACCTCCACCTCAGGAATTACTGTATGTTGGATGAGGCATAATCTCCTGCGATACATCCAGACCTCGGGGTAGTCTTGCTCACTCGACAGACATCGGAGAACAAACCCCGCCTTACCAGCCCGACCTCGCTGCAGAGGACGACACTAGACACTTTGATGAAGATATACCGGATGAAGTGAGTTGTACCCCAGTTTCAGTCGATCCCTCATCCTTTCTGGACAGATCCCGCTTCCCCAAGAGACATCTTGCCCACGGGCCGACATCTCGTCAATGCGGACAAGGTTGGATCCGATAGCTGACAAACAGCCCCTAGCTCCAGCTGGAGGAGCACACGCCGACATCACAAAAGATCCTCTCCTGCGTGACAAAGCTCATGGTACACATCTGCTTGAGATCAGAAAAGGGTTAGTTTTCTCCTTATACCTTCGGCAGCTTACATTCCCAGCAAGAGGTATTGGACGTGATACTGAAGATCAGACTCGCTTTCAAAGGCTGGACTTTTAAATCCCCTCATCCCCCCGAAAAACGTTATGGCCATCTGCAATTTATTTCCTCGGGAGGACAAGAAAGTAGTGAAGACACTATCAAACCTTTTGTCGCATCGTCGACACTAGCCACTGAAGGTCACTCGTCGGAAGAAGTGGAAGTCGAGGTAGTGGGGATCATGGATAGTCCAAGTAAGCTGCGTGGTACGGTCAGATCAAGAGCTTTGTCATTTTAGTAATGAAATATGGTTGTAGTCAAAAATGTTGTTGTGATGGCTGTGTTGTGAAAGCATCGTTGTAGATGATTGATAATGACGTTGTAATTCTTAGCTATAGAGATGAATCCCGTGCTGAATCAAAGTTGACTTGGGCCACTGGAAGGTTGAAAGACGTCAGAGCAGAATGGGTCAAGGAAGTGAGCAAGTAAAGAGACATCAGCTCAAATTATCATATAAAATAGTGACCTGTGCATCAGCTCAAATCCGTTTGTCACACTTGAACAGGGGTGGATGATGCGCAACGGAGAGAAAACGTTCAGAACAAGTAGTATCGTCTATGCTTAAAAGCTCGGAAACAGCCTTCTAGTTGATAGTGAAGATTGTGTTCATCATTATGAATATACGACGGAGCTTTATCAATGATGTTCGAGAAGTAGCTGACACTCACAAGATGATTTCATACGCTTTCTTTCCCGACATCCGCCAGGGGGAACACTTTTGAGGTATGAGTTGGTCTTAATGTGTGATTGATAAGTCTTTATCAACCGTCAGTACCTCGCACTCGTCCGTTCATGAGGATCCGAGAAACGTGGGAAGAACAAGAAAGCCGGATGGTAGTGCTGGGTTTGGACTTGACTCGTAGATCGTAGATACAGTACATCGAACAAAGTGAATTGAACGTGGAGGAACCAATTTCGTGCGGAAGTGCCACTTTTATCAACGTATACATCGGAGATACACACCGGTCTTATCTCCGACTTTGGACTGCCACTTTCCCCGAATCTTTGGACGTATGAAATATATCGCCGAGATTCTCCGTTCACCTCCAACACCATCTTTCACCACTCCTTCTATCTCACTCTCAGGAATACTTTCGCAAAATGGCACAACGAGTCACACTTCGTAAACGTCAACCTTATAACACCAAGTCTAACCGTAGGAGGGTTGTTAAGACTCCAGGAGGTGTATTGAGGGTACATCATATCAAGAAGACTGCCGTGGGTTTTCGTCTTTACCTATCCATCAACCCCTTCATCGGTTGTCCTTCCACACACTAAGCTGTCAAACTACTCACGACTTTTGCCTTCCTTAAAAATTCACCCTTCTCTACGCTAGTGGTGCGATTTGCTCAACGTGCTCGTTCCAGTGAATCGATGTGAGAAAGTCATGGCTGGCTGTAACTGTTGGACTTGTGATTCAGAAGGATGTGAAATGGGCGAGGATGGCGAAAGAAAAATGTTATTCAAATTTCATATCTCTCTGGGTCGTATTTTGGGATTTGAAACTTGTCTAGTGAGGGAAAATTAGGTTGCTGACCATCAGTCAAGCCCAAAATGTGGTGATTGCGGTACCGACCTCCCTGGTATTCCTGCTCTTCGACCTCGCAAATGTGAGTTTATCTCTTCTCACTCGTAATTGCCTTCATGTACATTATCATCGAAGTTAGAACTTCGATTATAATTACCGCATAAATGGGTATCTCGCCGTCATATAACCGTATTCGTTGCCGGCGACGAATGTATAGAGTTGGAAGGGTCACCTGCTGATCACAGATGCCACCCTGTCCAAACGTCAAAAAACCGTCAGTAGAGCGTACGGAGGATCTTGTTGCGCCAAGTGCGTCAAATCACGGTGAGTCAACACTATTTGTATACAAATCACAGCTGACATGTCTTCTTTCTGCTGGATCCTCGACACCCAACAATGAATCAAACTCTCACTCTGCCCTTTCGCCCGTCTCACACATCCACCTTCTCTCTGACCCACGTCGCGTCCGAATTTCTTTCCTATTCACTTCTTTATCCAGTATCACCCGCGCATTTTTGATCGAGGAGGCTACTATCGTCAAGAAGGTTCTCAAGGCCAAGGCGGCTTCTTCGAAGAAGTAGAAGGCGATCACGTACATGGGCACGATGTATTCATTCCACCATTACCGTCGTTCTTTTCCTGATCTTCTTCCTGACGATCCGCATTCTTCTCTCGACTGCCAAGTGTCGCGCTCGCCTGACGATGTCGTGCTGACTTACTGATCCACTCAAAAGTGGTCATGGAGTGGCATGACGATGAGGTATGTGGTCTCTTCCGCACACAACTTATTCTTCGCTTCTGAGCCTGACACCGGTCCGGAGGCATACTTGTACAAGCGTCTGGTTGACCCAAATATCAATTGACTTTCAGTTCTTTATGCGGACTGGCATAGCCTCACTCCGTCGGACTCGCTCAATGCTTCACAGCGCTTCTCCCGGCGTTGAACCCCTCATTCACGGTATCCGATACTATTCACTTCATCATGACCCGTCGTCGTGTACTCTGCCCTCCATCAACCAACCATCCTCAACCACCATCACTCTCCTATCAGCTTACCCCATCTTCGGCGCCTGAACCCAGACATAGCGCTCTCCATCCACATGCTACCTTACCCCTTGCGTCGCGTCACCATCCTTCCCGCCTCTTCCTAGCTCTCCAACCCATCATCCCCAATCATCCCATCACTTTCCCCTGGTGCTTCGTACCATCCCTCCCTCCTGCGTCATCTGGGCGGAAAAGGAGGGCCTCTGATCACGCCCTCAGATCCGAAGGGATCAATCATCCGTGATCATGATGGAATGCGCCAGTAATAGTGCTACTGGGCGGGGTGGACGGAAGCGGAAGTGGCAGAGTCTCGCCATGGGTTTCCTTCATTCTCTGCTCCGTCTTTATACATCCACTACGCACGGATCTTCCTCCTATGCTTCTCCTGACTTCATGCAGATTTTGTTTCATCTGTTAGATGTAGCTGACTACGCAGTGTGGTACGTAAGCATACCCTTCTATCGGCACGGAGACTTATCAGGAACGAAGAGAAGATAATTCCCAGGTACCCCACGGATCGGATCTGGTAGACTCAACCTTGAGCAAACGAATCCGTCGTATTTCTCGCTGAACCAAAGGATAGGTTTCATTCTCATCTACATACCAGTCTACTTCATCACGAGTAGACCTAAGTCTGGACCAACTTTTCTGTTCGGAAACGACGCCGAGAACCTCGTACCTATCACGCATCCAACCCTCCGAACTTTAAATCCTGCAACGCTATAGATATCTTTCATTCCGTCCGACTATCCCACATCATGTTTTACTAGTCACCTCCCTCATCCGGCGTTCTGTACCTTTGAGCTATCTTTCACCTCTCACATCCATTCGCTCCATATTCCACCGGTCCAGCGCTCCACCCGTAGGTCAACGATGAAAGAGAGACCAACATGTGGAATGTACAGATCGCAAGGAGAAGAGAAGAGAGGATAAGAAAATCGTACTAGGGCGGATCCGAGGGCGGTCAAGACCATGATGCTGATGATCTTACACAAGGGACCAAAGGTACCGCCGATCCAGGAGGACCATGTCGTAGCCCCGTCCAGATAGGTCGTTGGGTCATGACCGGACGAGCTACATATATGATTTCTCGTCCCTCTAGACCCGAGTCGGAACAGCGAAGGTCGAGAACGGGGGGGCACCGTAAGAGTTTGCCCGACCGGGCGTGAAACAAGCAAAAAGGCGTAGGCTCGCCCTGGGAATAAAGTACTAAAACGAGACGACTGACCTCTTCTCTTCTCTTCTCCTCATGGTCCACTGAGCTTTTCTAAATATCTCGCCCCTTCTCTTCTCTTCTTTCCTTCAAAAGCTCTTTTCTCTATCCGTCAATCATTCACTGTTTCCTTTTCGTATCTTTAGTCTTTCTCCAGTCGAAGCAATTTGGTCCTTCGTTTGTCATCCCAAATCATCTTGACACTCTTCATACCGTAGGATCGCTTAGTCAACAATCGCAATCCCATAAACACTCGTACATCCTGTCCGAAAGGGCTTGATGGATAATCTGTCCTCGAACGGACAATACCTCTCGCTTCTCAGTGGAATCAATCAGATTCCCAAAAATGATTCCCGACAATCACAAGCTCAGACTCCATTCTCTGAAGGAACCATCCCAGAGAGAGAAAACAATTCATTCGTCTTGGATCAATTTGGTGTGGATGAACCATCTTCTTTTCCTTACCGACCTCTATCTAGCTCCCATGAAACCATACATCTTCCACAATTTGTACCCAATCAGCCGGTACTTTCTTTTGGGCGCTACACTCCAACGACGTCTTCTCTTCGCAAGACTTCTTTCTGGACCTATCTTCCTGTTCCTTCTGTCGGTTCGTTGGATTTCATCCCAAATTCTTCCTCCACGCAGAATCCTTTCAACCCGCACTTGAACCTGATCCCTAGTCAAAACAACTGGGAATATTTAACCCTTCAACGTCTTCCAGACATCCCAGTCCATCATCATCCCGCTTCGTCGTTAGCTCTCATCAATCCGATCTGGATATCACCCCCTAACACATTCCACGATGGAGGTTATCTTCCAGATCCTTTCAACCCTCCCGTCTCTCCTAATCGTTCCGCTTTTGCGATGTATCCTCCTATTCCGTCTACTGTCCAAGACGACCACGAAGAGGCTATACCAGCGGAACACACGCCATTATACGAATTACCGATGTATCAACCCCCAAACGATATCGCACTTCCGAACAGACTGGAAGTTGCCGTAGATGAGTACAATCGGTCAAGGTCGGACCCCATTCACCTTCTCGATACAACTCAACAGGTGTCTAATTTGGAACAAGATGATAGTGTCTGGTCGGACGATGCGGAAGGAGAAACAGAGTTGGAATCAGATACATATACGAGACTTGTCCCTCTCTCCTCCAACTATCTCCCATATCGATCAAAGATTCTTTCCTCATCTAGCGAAGAAGATTCAGATAGTTCTTTCGAGATTCCTCTCTCGTCGCTTTTTCGGTCTATACGATATGCCAAACGTAGGAAGATCACCAAGACTGATATGAGACAAAGTTCGACAAAACTTCCAACTGGTCGTAACAAGGCAAGCGCTTCTGGCCCTAAACCGGCTAAGAGGGGGAACGGAATAGGAAATGTAGGAAATGCATATACTGTATCTATTTTGGATAAGGTATGGGATGAAAAAGCCAATCATACCACTTTCGATTTTCATCTTTGCGCGTAAGTCATCTTGTTCTCTTTTCTGTTCTCTCTTTTAGATTTCCGTCTTGTTCCGTGGTAGATATTTGAAGTTCATGCTGACTTGATAGAGCTTTGCATGACCCTTCAACGGATGATTATATTCATTGGGATGAAAAGGGGGATGTGATCGTGATTCCCGATATCAAAGCTGTGAGTTTTAACACTCCTATAACCTTTGAGGTATCATATCTGAGCAGTCGAAGAAGTGAACTAGGGATACGTGGAATTTGACGTATGGATCTCATTGACGATCAGTTCCTTCGTCATGTTTGGCCTCATCACTGTCAGACGAGTATCAAGAGAGCTGCGTTCAATAAGCAATTAGCAAAGTAAGTCTTCCTCGACGTCATTTGATATTGGTATTGATGTTGACGTCAAGTTACGGTTTTAGACGTGAGAAGTATAGACTCAATAGTCTTACCCATCCGTGCGTTTCTATGATCCGCTTCTTCCGCTCCACGTCCACTCTTCTCTTCCTTCTGCCCAAAATGTTATAGCCTTTGTTTTCTTATCACTACGGATTTACTTCAAAAGAGAGATGATCCAAATCTGTATCAAAGACAGGAATGCTGATGTCAGTCTCCGACTAGAATACGATGGTTTAAAGAGGGATGATCCGCGTTTCTGGGCAAAACTCGCCGAACGATGCGCAAAGTTCATCGGGTCCCCTCAGTCCGAGTGAATCGTATCATCTTTCGGTGTGTAGTCGATATTGGAAACAACCAGATATATACAGCCAAGTACGGAGATGAGGAAACGTGAGGAGTGTGAAGAACGGACCATATGACCGAAGTGATTGAAAAATGGCAAAAACTAACACCAAAAGCGAAATTGTAATTTAAGGATTGTCTAGGAGTTTCTCATATTTGATATGCATGTTGTGCTTAGGATATCTTTCGAGTCCGACTCACCTTCTTCTATAAATGGAAAATCACGGACGGATCTTGTTAAGAAGCAATGTTGAGATCCGGAAACCTGTGTTGGACAAGAATCTCGCGCACGCGTTTCCTTTGAATCGTCCCCGTCACTTGTCTCTGGCTCTTAGAGCTTGAGGACTAGACAGAGGGTGACAAGGGACTGAGGGTACTAAGAAACTGAGAGAACTGCAAGATGTCAGGCTGGATCTGACTGGACTGACAAGTTGATAATGAGATTCCATAAGAGATTCATAGGTGGGGAACTGTCACGGCTGTCGAATAACTTCTCTCAACGGACCGACGGTCGACGAACCTCGGCTAACTTGACAGTTCGGGTTCGATGTCTCACCCAACCAGGAGGGCGCAGACGTCGAAAGGGGTGTAACTACGGCGTACATCGACGTAGTTACTCTAACTAGGGTTTTCACTGATGGCGATGTATCTCGATTTGAATGTAGCTATCGCTATCAATTTTTCACTCCTCCTAGATGATCGTCCAGCACTCTCGCGCTTAGACGTACTTCAATGCACTTTGTCCGTTTCCCCGAGTCCCCGGCCATCCTTTTTCCTCCTTCGACTAACCCCGCCTAACATCCCGGCACTTCTGCTCCCATTGTCCCTAATCCACCTAACTCCGCCTAACTTTGCCGCACTTCGCCGTCCCTATGCTCCAGATGCCCGTACACCGTATTCTCCCGCTGTACCCGCTGTACTTTGCCGTACTTGGTCTCAGATGTCCTGAATTACGTGTAGAGTGAAGAAATTGAGGTGTGATAGGGGTTTGATGGTCAAAGGAGGGTCATTGTTGACAGGATATTTGGGGTGTCACGACGTAGACGATGTAGTTTGTGACGGTCGCTCCCTCCTTAGCTGCAAACGTCCTCATGAGCAATTACACTTCTACCGTGGCAAGAAAAGCTCTGCGGCGCAGTACTTCCTATCCTCTCCCTCTCACACATTCATCTTCAGCACTTATGCTTACTTCGCCGCACCTCATGATCAAGCTTCTGTTCACTCCCAAACCCGACAATACAAGGTACTCCTAACTTCGTCAAGGTTTGCCGTAACAATCCCTGTGTCTTTTGAAGATGAGACACTCTTCCTGAACAGCAGCCCAACAACGCCATTGTTTGTTTAAATAACCCTCCTTCATATTGGGGTGAGACACGGTAGCTGTCACGAACCATGTCGTAACATCCCTTACAGCCACCACCACCGACCCTCCTTTCACCATCACCGAACCACTATCCGCCATCAACCACCATAACCTGAACCACTGAGACCAACTACGACGAAGTTACGAGAACCTCGGGGTTATTTGTCACGACAACCCTGCCAAACGGAGAACTACGGCGAAGTTAGGAGAAGGAAACCAAGGGAGAGGAGAGTAGAGGAAGTTAGGCGAAGTTAGTCGAAGTGAGTGGAGTAGGGTATTGGGGATATGCCAAGGTACAGCGAAGTTGAAAGAGGAGGACTGAGCGTGAGGCTGTGCAGGGGTTGAAGGATGTTCTATGAGAAGAGAGGAGAAGTATAGATAGTTTACAGATCACTGAACTTCTTCAGCGATCCTTGATTGTTGTCAGCAGTGAAAGATATATTCAGTAGCCACAACCTTTGAGTTAGGGAGAGCTACCACTCAGCAGTTTGACGCACCACGGCGAAGTTAGCCGCAGTTCATCGACGATCATCTTATTGTTTACCACTTGACGTATTATTACGGCGTAGTTAGCGGTAGTTCCCCAACAAGTACCTTGTCTCAGGGAGACATCGACGCCCTAGTACAACGTAGGTAGCCAAGGTTTGTCCACCATCGGTCAGTAGAGAAGAAGAACCGACATTTGTGACAATAGCTCATTGACGCAGACTATCTTCAACGTCTGGTCCTGACAGCTCAAGAGACCCCGAGAGTGAGACTCCAAAAGAGGAAGCCCCGTCCCTACATACGCTAGCCGAAAGAACGAAAAGTATCTGCAACGGGAGTAGGGCGCGGGGACGAGACCAGGAAACATGATCCATGATCCTGACATGCTGCCTGGCGTGTGAAAGTACTCTTGATCTATCTACCACACAACATGCTTCTCGTGGGCTTCTCAATGGCTCCATCAGCGATGACGTAGCAGCGTGCAAAGAGCTCCACACGTACCGACCTCAATATCACTCCTCTCGCATCTCTCCGTTCATCAACTAGAATAGGTCTGGAATGGAACGGGGGAGTGGGTATTTGAGGCATCATACAGTGAAATGGCTTTGTGTCACGCCTGCGGGTAGACTGCGGTAGCAAAGTACTTCCTTAGATACTGAGGAGACTGAGATGTTGGGTTAGAACCAACTGAGTGACTTATCAAACGAGGTTAAGTTGATTGAAAAGATACATTGCTGAAGAAAAGAAACTATGTAAGGACTATATGGGGTTTATATCTATTTCTGAGTCCATTCTGGAATGTGCGTCGTCCTGCGTAGGAAAGAGTCGTGATTCTCGATCTCATGTGTATATTCAACCATGAATCAGAAAGATGTGTGGTCTTTGTGACCTGATGCGTACAATACGCTGTTGACCGCATGCAAAAGCACGCATGTTAAGTTATTATTAGATGATAATACAGAGGGGAAAAAGAGCATGCATCAATTCTACATGTCTCTATACTTATCACATTCCACTCACACGCAGTAAACCAGAGACGATCGAATAGAGTTCAGAGGATAAGTTGAACGGAGAAATATTTGACGGAAGGGGTAATGATCTAACGGTGGTTCGGCCGTCCTGGCCCGATTCTATTGGCTAACAACGCATGACGACGTAAACCATACGTTCGCCTTAAATTTAACTAAACTGAAGTCTTGGGTCTAATGCCATACCAGGCAGACTCACTGAGGATAACTTAACTAACTAAAGGTTCAGGTCTCTTGCCTTGGAGGCATAAGAGCAGAACTAAACATAAAGAGACTGATACTCAGACTTTCTGCCTTGTGTGCACAAGAACAGAGCTGATGATTCATGACACTTTGAACGTTATCCTTCACTCTAATGGCAAAATGACCAGTGAAAGTCAAGACATCCCAATAATCCAGTATGGCGTCATGACGTGTTGCTTGGTATACAGGAGTCAGTCTCCCTTGCCTGCGGCTTGATTGAGGTGTTAACTGACACCTTTAGTATTTGAATCACATGACATGCACCAACAAACGATCAATGTGTTTGAGTACGACCTTGAGGGACGATATATACCCCCTACTAGCTGTCAGGACCCGGAGAAGTACAACGACACCATCTTTGCAGCATCTCTGGATGCACAGTACCACTATGCTTTCAAGTGGTGGGGAGACTTGAGTTCGCCCATTCAAGACAGGAGCCTGTTGGCGCATTACTCTTTTCTATGGTACTCGACTGTGGTGCTTCAGCATTGTGTGGACCTCTACTCGGCTTTCCTCAATGGGCAAGGCCACCTCCATGAGCTCCCCAGCAATGTGTTGGAAATGTTGCAATGGGGAGAAGACATCAGCATAGCAAGCACAGATGGGATACAAAATCTCGGTGTGCATTTTGAGCATTGTAACGGGGAAGTACTCCTTGAGACAAAAGCTGGTGATGAGTCACTGCCCTGGGCCAATCTGTGCTGGTGCACCATCACCCAGATTCATACTCCGGCATGGAGGAGAATCAGAGGGCGATCAGTGACAGCAGGGCTGGTCAGCTGTGTCTGGAAGCTCAGCAAAGACATGGATAACACTGTGGATAGGGTTGAAGTTGGTGAGCTGGTGTTAGTGTCAGAACCAGATGTAAGAGAGTCTGCATCAATGAGCTATGGGCTATAGGGTCTTGTAGGAAATGGACCTAGTAATGTACTGCAGTAGATTGAAGAGACAATAAGTTACTGAGATCAAGTGACAAAACATATGCTAAGCGACAAAAGGATATGTTAGGAGGTCAGGGATCCCGGGGTCATATTTGATGAGTCCCTTAGCGTAGTAAGCAGATGTATTAGTTGAAGCGTTTATTTACTTCCTTCAAAGAATGTATTCTCCCCTGTCTGAACTAAAAAGAATGTTGAGCCACTGGCCAGTAGCAAGGCCTTGTCCCCTGAAAACCTAGAGCTGTCTTGGTGATATGTTAAATGCTTATAATATTCCTTTCATGTACTGCCGTCAGGACTGTCCAGTCGAGACATTTTCAAGTGGATCGATCACTTGGTCGTCCACTGAGCGAGCTCCGTGCGGAGTTCAAATACCGCTCATGCCTTCGAAACTGCCTACGATGACGTTCTGGTCTCACCCGAGTTCTGAGATGAAGTGACATCATCTTGTTGCTCTTTTCATTCTCCTCCTTTGATCTCTTCTGATTGAAGGGAGATACACATGAAAGTCGTTGCACAGGTAAAGTCATTCAAGTTCACCTTTGGGTTGGGAAGAGACCTCACAATTGAGTGGCAAATCCGTACTTGGAGAGAATGACCTTTGACTATGAGGTTGAAGATGACGGAGACCTCCCTGATACGTTGAGTGAGTACCCACTCTCCTCACTGTCAAATGATTCTTCTTGGATGAGAAAAGTAAGCATGTAGTACACCCGTAGTACTTTTGACTGATGCTTAAGATTACGGAAGCGGCAGTTGTCTTGCATGACACGATTGAAATCCTTCAACAACAGGAGCATTTTGGTCCTTTATTTGATGATCCCGAAATAACTTATAAGTCACTGCCAGACTGTCAGAACCCTGTGAGGTATCAGGAGGTGATGATAAGTCTGGAAGAGTGGACACGGGAGGCCTCACAAGATGAACATGCGGTTTCCGGCAACGGATTTCTGAAAGACCTTGAGTTATTGGCCAGCGAAGATCCTACTGAGAGGCAAAACGCAAGAGTGCAGCGACGGGAGTTTCAGATTCAACTAATGGAGTATGGTACGGCACTGCAGGAAGTCTGGCAGAGAGCTAGGGTAAAGTATATGTGGCCACGTGATATATCAGACATCTTCGAAGCTATGCGAGACCTGAGCAGGGCTATCTCATCTGCAGTTGACAAAAGACATTTCACTGGTTGTCACAAGGTAGAAATTGATGATGTGATGAGAAGTGATGAAGATGTGACAGACATTGCAACTGCTATTCGTCAGTGTTGGTGTGCCTGGAAAGATCTTGAGGATGCTACCTTTGAATCGAACTGGGACAAACTGAACAGCACTTGGACCGATACAAACATTTAAAAATTGCTCAGGCTTGACATGGGTATACTGAGGAGATCCCAAAGATATCAGTCATTTGTTGGTGATATGTGAGCACCTGAAAAACAAAAGGGTGACATTCATGCTTGCAAGGAATCAGTGAAGTGAAGTGGACCAGAAAACATACACCAGATGAGTGAACCTTGGTCCTTGGAGTGCATAATATCTTGCATGACATATGTTAGGTGACATACGGAAGACGTGACACTTCAAAGCGTCATGGGTATGACCGTGACCGGCTGAAGATCCGTGTCCCACAGAAGAGTACCTGCCATGTTCTCAGATATCCTGCAGACTCTGAAAAACGGGACAGTTAAGAAGAGATGATCCCTTTCTGCCTTGTAACAAGAGGACATGGTTGCAGCTGATTGGGTTGTTGCGCAATAGCCTCTTTCAACACCTAAATTTCCGAGTTCTGTTTCCTTCCTCCCATGCATGCATCCATACAATCTTTTCCTGTGGTCTCTTTCCAATCATAATCAAGAGCTACAGATCCAATGCTGAGTTAATTTTGATTAGTGGTGTTGTGGATATCTCCGCCCTAGGTGACATGACACTTCAAAGTGTCACACCTCTTCAGCTGCTCAAGATCATACCCGTGACGCTTCAAAGTGTCACGTCTTCCGTACGTCACCTAACAGTGCTGGGCAGATTTGACAGTGGGAGTAGGGGGGAACGATGGGCCAGGGGAAGGGTAGAGAGGAATGAATCTGGAACGATACACACACTGAAGAGGACAAGCAGATTCCTCCTTTCGGGTCGCGAACGTGGCGTGAGACCTGGCTGGAATGGCCGGTCTGGCTTCCATGACGTGTACCAATGGTCTAGACTACTCCACTTGCCTTCGAGTGGAGCGGACGTTGTCATGTTGTCGTCATCGGTCCGTCCTATGCAGGACTCAGGCGCCAATTATGGGTATATAAACAATATCTGATCTTCACTAAACCACAATAATCCATTGGATCCATATCAGTCCTAGTGTCGGCACAAATGACCACACCAACGGAAACGCAAATCCCCAGCACGGAGGAGTGGACCAGAAAGCTTTGGCTAGATCCTGTCGTTTCCCTAGCATGTTTCAAGCTTGCAGAGCTCCGCAAGCGTAATGGTATGTGTGTAGAAAATACTGTGTTTAGGCTGATTTAGCAGCTCATGCAGACTACCAGACTGTCTCACAGGATCTAGATACTCTGGAACCCATTATGAGTCCTTGCAATGAGGCATCTCTAGCCCAACGGGCCTTCCAAAGACTGAAAGGCTGTATGGGACCTCTTGGGCATACATTAGACGATTTAGACCAATTGGGCTCTCCCATTCCGGCAGACCGGTTTCCGACTATTGACCGTCTGCTTGACAGCTGTTCAGGGCTCACCTTGTATGCTCTAGCGTTCACAAGTGGACACTCAGGCGGAGAAACCCCACAGGACATGTTGCAAATCTCTCCTGGAGAGTTGGAGCTGATCCACCACACAGGAAGTCTGGTCAAGACATTGCTGACCTGCTTACTGTGGGCAGATGGCTCGCGTCTTTTGGGGACTGAGAACCCTGGAATCTATTCAGTACTCCAACGTCAGCAGCTAGAAGGGATGTATCATCGGCAGACATATCTAAGCACAAGAAACGAATGGGAGTGGCTGCTCATTCTTCAAGATGTTCTCTTTCGGGCCTCGGGGCAACTGGAGAACATCAACAGTGACCAAGCGCAGCATGCAACGACGATAGTTCTGGAGGCAAGTATTGAGAGTATTAGGGAGATTATGTGTGTCAAACATCTGGGTGTTGTTGAAAACTCATCTCTGAATCCGTCCAACGAAAGCCCCACTTCCAGAGTGGCAGAGTGGGTCCGAGAAGGAGTTCCGCCGATTACTGTGACAGGCCCCGAAAGCGATGTTGGCGCAGATGTGAACCCCGTCTCATCCCCTAGAACTTTTGCTCAACAGCCGGGTCCGGCTGTACCTCCCTTCCATAACTCAAGCCATGAGGAAATGCCGACCCAGTCTACACCATGGTTTGGAATCACAGATACTGGAAGCCAAGCAACACGGAATCAGTCTCTACCTGTAGGGGTTACTGATCCGAGCGAGACATCTTCGGAACCACGTGCACCAGTTGCTCTCTCTCCTAACCTGCCTGGAAGTGGAATTAAGCCTTCAGGGGCTGGAGTTACAGCTACTTCAAGTGAAGAACAAACATCGGAGCCATCATCATCTGAGATTCTGCCTGAAAGAGAAGATTCAAGTCCGCGTTCAGACAGAGTCCCGGCTAATGTTGATGCTAGCTCGGGGTTTAGGGGAATTTGGAGTGAGGATTCATTTCAGGCATTACTACTTGCTGAAGGGACAACCGGCTGATGCGCTGGAGCGTGCCCCAAGTGACGAGCTGATGACTCAGTGGAGTCAGCTGGGTCCGGAATGATGGAATGAAGGGGAAGAATGAGATAGAAACACAGGAATCATGCAACTAGTTGAAGAGTTGGATTAAACTTTCAAATGTTGCTGGCCTTCTTATCATAGCCAGATTGATTCCTCTGAAGCAAAGTTGACACTGAGCAATTTAAACGATTTAAAATCGCGGACTTGCTACCTGATCATGGCCACTCTTCTATGTACTGTGCTTCGGATTCTCCATTCGAAACATTTTCATGTGGACCACGACTCCGACTCCGTGGTCTATTGGGAGACCTGCGGAGTTCAAATACCTCTCACGCCTTCCTCTGATGTCATCCCTATCTCACCCGGATTTTCAAGCTGGAGTGATGTCATCTTGTTGATCTTTTGATTCTCCTCCTTTCATCACTTCTGGTTGAAGGGAGATACATATGAGAGCTGTGCTAGGGGTAAAGTTATATAAGTTGTTAGATGTTGAGTTGAGAAGAAACCTTCCAAGTCAGTGGCAATTCCGAATTTTGACAACATGTTCACTTATCATGACGATGTCAGGAAATCAGCACTTCCACGTGAGTGTCATGGTTGAGACATATGTTTACCGTATTTGACTGATTGTTACAGTGATGCAATCTTTGACCACCTTGTCGCAGTCTTTTAAACACTTATCAGAAGGACCTCTTGAGGGAGAACAGGAACCTCAGTCCCAGACACTTACTTATAACACTCCACAAGGTTGCCCAAACCCTGATTTGTATCAACAGGCAGTGTCAAAATTGCATAAATGGACCAGGGAAGCATCAGATACCTCAAACGGAGCCCCTGTCGGGACTCTGCACCAAGATCTGTCTGACTTGACAAGTGGAATTTACATCAAGCGGGAGACCTCAGCTACGTCCCTTAAGGAGCGCCATATGGAATTCATAGAACTAAATCTGCAACTCTATGAATCCTGGCTTGATGATCAAGGGAACGTGGTCAGTTGGCCAAGAGACTTCCCTGTCTTCCGTTACCTGGATGAAGTGGGGAACAATATGATTACAGCTCTTCAGGCAGCATATGCTTACAATGCTGGGAATGAAACCACTGACACACAAGTGACAGGCAGATCAGATCGGTCAAAATCCAGTCATGTTGATGACGTTACCACGCTCAACACTCTTCACACGGAATATCTTGATAATAGAATGTTTGACTTGACTCGAACAGCTGTTGACGGCTTTAAGAGTCGCCTCAACACGCTCAAGGCTAACACTCTTAAGGATCAAAGCCCACCGTCAGAAGTCAAATGATGGCGAAGATCATGCTTGCATCCTGGGGAAAACCAGGTGAGCATTGTGCTCTTAAAAGTCATCACGAGGAATTGAACTAGGAATCATGCATGAAATGCGATGAGTGAATACTGGTTGTCTGAGTATATGATATTTCCCATGATGTACGAGTACATCAAAAACAGGACATGAGACAGACCTAAGAAGATTCCTTCCACACATCTCTCAGATCCGTTATCCGTCTCTCTGCCATCACCCATGCGGTCGATAGCACCCCCGTCCCATTATTCTCACCGATGGTAGTGAGACCCTCCGACCGGAGCATACACGCGCGATTGCTTTCATCTAGACATATACTGATTGTAGTTGATAGATGTGGAGATTCGAAGGAGGTCGGATCGGGGAGTAAGTGGGTTCTTTACGTCAGTGATGAGGCTTCAAACGTATAAGAGACGATCCTTCAAGCGTCGGAAGTGTCGAAGGTGTTCATTTGCACGGAGACAAAGTATTCCCAACGAGGAAAGGGGAGTGAGAATGGTAATTTTGACCGAAAGAAAATAATAAAGACCTACTCGTTGAAGATACCGAACGATGCGGCCAGCGGTATTCTCCCTAATTTCAGAGAATACTTCTCGCCCCTGATCAAGTTCACCTTCCCTGTTTCGTCGTTGTATCTGGCCCCATGGAGTTTGGCTGTGAAATCAGAAGACATCTTACCTGAGAGACTGGAACCCATCATTACCCACGTATGATGTGAGAGGATTGGGACAATGAGTGATATCAGGAATGTGAGGAAGATAAAAGAGTTGGACGAACTATTCCTCAAGGCTGCCATGACAGCAAGAACGGTAGCATCGAAAGCATTGCCGTCGTAGTTGATACACACCACGTCGATGTAGAGCGCCCATACGGCTTTACCGGGGACTATGCAGAGGGAGGATAGGTCAACAACGTGAGACCTTTACGTCAGCAGATCTTTATCTCCATAAATCAAATATACATATTCAACATGGACCTAGTTTAGATATCGACCCCTCCGCGGTACCAACGACTGATCGACAATTGTGAAAGTGCATAGCATAGGAATAGAGGTAGTCTATAAGTGTAGGGAGCTAAAGATATGAGAAGCGAGTGGGAAACGGAGTCAACGGAGAGTTGAAGGAACTCACGAGATCAATAAATCGTATAACCACACACTCAAAACTTGAGCTTCATCACTTGGAGGACCAGGTTTGTACCTCGGAGAGCATAAAGCAGGTAGGTCAACGTTGGGTACTACTTCGTCAGCTGTGTCAAAGGTTCAATCTTGACAGTTGGTATAGACTGACTTAAATAACCTTTATCTGGTGAGGAAGTTGTTGGCTCAGCGATCTCTGCTTTTATACCACAAACGACGGTCGTTGAGCCGAGTCGGACGAGGGAAGAACCATCAGCTGTGGATATGGAGCCTGAGTGTGAGTGAAGATCACAACGGATATATATCTGCGACCAGGTGGAAAAGCTGACCAGTATTGAGACTCGCTTCTCTGAACTCGTTCAGTCTCCTCCCATCCGGTCTGTAACCCTTTGCGAGGAATCGAGAAAGGTATTGTTGAGGATGCAGTCGTTTGTACACTGCCGCTGCTGCTGTTGAAGACTGGGGAGAGGTGGATGAGCTTGCTTGGTCTTGAGATCCTTGTAGGGCATCCGTCGTCGCTGTCATGGCCATGGTGACATAGGCTCTATCTATAACTACTTTCAGATTTCGAATCTCAGCATGAAGAATTGGTAGTCGAACGTCATCCTTCACGGAGATACCTTCACTCTCCGCTATTTGTGGCAGACCAAGTGCCACTCGCCACTTGTTCCTCCGGGATTATCGGCGAAAAGCCACGCGATGTTTTGTTTTTGGTTCCGTCCCCTTCCTCTTGCTCTCCCCATACGTCGTGTGCCTTGGCTTTTCTCTCAACCTCGTCATACATCGCTATACAACTCGTCATCACCATCACCTATATCAGTCACCTCCCACTTTGTCTTCTCTCTCTGTTGATAGTGTCATTTTACAGTCGACACTATACCGACAAGTATCTCGAATCTCAATGGCTCAAGCCCTTTCAGTAGCCCCGCAAGCAGTGCGGCTCTCACCAGCACGCGACCATTTCTCTCCTTCTCCTAGACCATCTCGTTCTTCCCTTTCCGCATCTGTATCTCCTCCTCCTCAACGTCCCCACGTGAGACACGCACCACACTCAACCACTGGACCTAGGTCTAGCTCTCGCTCAAGTCAGTCAAAAGAGAACATACCAGAAAACGAATACGAAATGACCCTTTCCCAAAGGTCAACAAAGCCCAATGGTAAACTCCCACTTTCGGAAGAACCAAAACGTTATCATCGCGAAACGAGTGTCGATTCTGATTCTTTCTCTCTCGATGGGAATGGCAGTATACGTCGGAAGATCATCTCGGGTGCGCGCTCCGGGTCGGTGCGATCTAGTAAAAGTCCTTACGCACATTCCGAGGATGGAAGTGTTTATAATGGTCTACCGACTTTAGAAACGGTCCAAGATGATCCGGATATACCCGTGGAGGGAACTAGTAAACCACCTCCACCAGCTCCAAGTGCTGCGACGGGACATGGAGATAGGCCATTAACGAGGAAGAGAAGGAGTAGTTCTATAAAGAGAAAACCTAGTCCGGGAGTGACTCCGAAGAACGTGGTGGATTGGGAGATTCCCAGAAAGACTCTACATTCGTCGATAGGTGAGTCGCTGTCGATCATCTACACGTGTCAACCAAGTGCATGGGCCGCGTATCCTCCGTTGTCACCTGCCATGTGTGTGTAGATCCGAGCTGCCTTGACGACCAGAGGGAAAACAAAGGGACAAGAGCAGAGGATACGAACGATGTGTGAACGAATGGAATACTGACTAGATAGGATTCCTCACTCTTTTGCTCAATCATCTGAACCCTCCAACCCTCCGTCCGCTCTTGACAGTCCTCACCACCATCCTTGTCGGCGTATCAACCGCGGATATCCTTCGGTTCCGTTATCCAGCATTCGCCGAGCTATGGGAGCTCACTGTTGGGTTTCTCATGCGAGAAAGTGAGAGACAAAAGGTCAATGGGGTGATATGGTATCTGGCTGGAGTCATATTTGTGCTTGCTTTGTATCCAAGAGACGTAGCGGTAGTTTCTATCCTCACGTGAGTGCCTGAACATCCGCGCATCACGATTCCCACGCTCATGTCCTTATCAATCAAAGCTGATCCCTAGTCTCTCGTGGTCAGATACAACAGCTTCTACCATCGGTCGTCTTTGGGGTCGGTATACTCCACCATTACCGGCCCATTTCCCAGGTCTCAAACTCCTCCCTTTTGCGCCACGGAAATCTCTCGCTGGCTTCTTAGCTGCCACGATCACCGGTGTATTCATCTGTCTCGGCTTTTGGGCAAAGGGTTCGGGAGGTAAATGGGCAGTGTTGGAATCCGTTATGGGACTGTTTGCTACCGCGGGGGTAGTAGGAGTTGGTGGAGCTGTTGTGGAAGCTTTGGGTGAGTTCTGCATGTCTTCGCTTTCTGGCCTTTCGTATTTTCATGATCTCACTCCTTGTCTGGAAACGGTTTCTCTTCCTTGCACACTCATATAACACCTAACTTCAACCGCATCCTTTCTTGTCCGGAGAGGATCACAGGTTTTGGTATTGTGTCCTCGACTGAGGATTCGTGATCCGAGGTAGTGCTTTACTGTGAGGAAGAAGCTCACTCACGTAGACCTCGGATTGGATGACAACCTCACTTTACCCATACTTTCCGGCGCCATCACTTGGGTATGGCTCATAGCGACCAACGTCCTTCTGTCATAAATTCCATCCTTTCACTCGTCCTCCCTCCATCCCTATTCTCAGTTGCCTTTTCCTTCCACCGACAATCACATTCTTCCTCGGGTCATCACCGCCTTTTTCTCTCTTTTATTGGGAAGTCACATTTGCGCCATGTTCACATTCGACCCTGCGACTCTTCTCCTGCTATTATCTGCTCACTGCTCGTGCTTCTAGTTGCCTGCTACTTGTCATATACTCCTGTTCTTCACTCCTCTGTCCTCGATCCTAATCCCGCATCTCACTCTGAAGACTTCCTAGTTTCTCAGAATCGTCAACTCCCAAACATGCGTTTTCTCCCCTCCTCCATTAGACATAATTGATAAATTGTCCCATTATACACGGACACAAATAGAGACTTCGGAAAGGATATACAGATACCCTTTTACATAGTGTCAGTCGTGTAATAATTCGGTTGGATTGATAGTGATGATGATTTACGAAACCCGTTCCCCAAGACTATATATATTCATTGGTGGATGCATGATTTTCCTCAGATACTGCATGATCCCGACCCGAATTCTGGATTGGTTGGGAGGGAGATAAAGTCCACAACTTGAAATGACAAGTCAAGTTGAAGGTCACCCCGGTAAAACGTACATCGAATAGAGTAGGTACGGTCTGGTTCAAGGCACAGCCCAACATGTTCCAGGCAGGAGCTATTGGACATTCGACCCGAAACGCACGGGGAGGAGGATAGTGATTCATGTCATCTTGTTGTTTCCACGGGCCTAACCAAGACTTCAAAGGTTCTACCAATCCCCTCTTTCATGTCCCTGTGTGACACGTTCACATGTAACACGTTCCAACTTTCCATTTTCAGTCCGGCGGCCGACGGACCGGAAACCAAGGACAAGGACCAAAACACATTCCTCCGTACCTGCCTCCCATGTTTCCACACGTTTTGTACGGTGTGATCCTTTGATGTGAAGGTCAAAAGGACCTGACACGTCTTTCAACACTACAGAGTGCTGTTTGAAATGTATTCGTTGAATACTGGTTTTCATATGTATAAATACGAATGCTGTGAGAGTCAACCATGAAAATCATCATCTTCCCTCTTCTTTCCCAGCATTTGACGTTTCCTGATTCCATAACTTCACAACATATTCACCACAACACCCTGAGAACATACAAATATCCTCTCTACCATACTTCTCACGTCCGAACAAGGTCATTAATTGAAGCACCAGATAAGTTGTACAATGTCGGAACCTGCTAGTGCCTTCACTGAAACTGTTTCTTCATCAAGCAGTGATAAATGGACAGCAAGCAAGCTCACTACTTGCCCCTATACAAAGGAGCTAGCTGGTCTTATGTATGAAGAGAGTAAGTATGAATCATGTTCTTCCTTCCCTTACATACCACTATGACAGTCCCCCATGTATTGTATACACCATAAATTTGACTATGCTAATCTTTAGAATTCTTTGACCAAATCTCTGAAGCAAAAGATCTTCTAACAAAATCTACACGTGAAATCCCATCCACCACCTCTCCTTCTCTTAGAGAAGCTTACAAAATGAATCACTCAGCCCAAAGTAATCTTACCAAAACATTGAACATATATCTCTCGACTCGTTCCCTGTTCTCTTCATACATTCACCAAGAGACAGGATGCAGTGCTCAAGATGAACATACTGGTTGTGGTGTGATTGAACAAGTTGTTAAAGAGATAACTGAAGATGTCGTCACTTCTGTATTGACAGAAGATGCAATAGATCTTCTGACTTCATCATCATCAGATGAATCAACTGAAAAGCTGGGATCTGAGACCAGTGATGATGATCAAGCTAAGGATGATGGGCAAAATGTTTCAGCTCTGATCAAAATGTTTGAGAGTCTGACATCACAATCCCAACAAACTACTACTGCAAAAGGAAGAGACAAAACGGACATGAACAATTCGAGACGGAGTGGTATTAGTATCAATACTACCTCACCGACTGAAAAACCCGCCAAGGAACCTGTTTCTGAAATCATTAGTCATCGTTCTACAATTGCTAGCCGGACCGAGATTGCTGAGTATTTGAAAAAACTTGTATCACTTTCTCAACAATCCACACAGAAGACGGTTGATAATACTGCCAAATTCACTCCAAAGACTGGTCCAATCACAATACATACTACTCCGCCATCTGATGAATTCATCCAAACGTCACCTTCTGCAATCAGTACAAATAACAATCTTTCCTTTACAACATCAGGACGGACTGTCACTACACAAACTGAAAGACTCAATCATCTGTTGTCACCCACTCAAAAATCCTCCATGGTGGAAAGGCAGAATAATACTTCCAATGTGAATTCAAGCAAATTGATCAATCTTCTGGCAAACATGGTCCATGTCTTGGATTCAACAGCTGGGTTATCACATACCACCTCACCTCAAGATTTTTATTCTCTCATCAAGGAACAAGAAGGTCAATCATGGCACATCAAGTTACGTGATAAAGCCCCAGCTGACCAACTTAAAGAGGTAACTGAGGGTTCTCTGAACCAACTAGCCCGGAAAATTGTGGATTCAGCCTATACCGACCAGGTGCTAAGAGAAGGAATACCCTCATACGTTAGGAGGAATCTCCAGACAAAGCTGCATTTTTCGCCTCATATGGATCAGCTTGGTATCACCGGAAGGGACAGTCAGATCACAGCTGTTCAGAGGGCTTCAGCCAGGCTCGAGTTTTCTTCTTTGTTACGTTCCCAAATGGACGAGAGTAGTAGGAATTCTCAAGACTTACTCAGGGAGATTGTGGGGGTCCGGTCACGTAGAGATATGCTCGTGAGTGGCCTCGAAAGATGTCCGGAAGATCTGTCTTTTAATTCTTTCTATGGTTTTTAGTCTTTCAATATCTCGGACAAGCTATGCCTTTGAAAGTTCAAACACAGGGGAGGGACTGGAGATATCTCAGGTTGTGTGACATTGGAGTACAAGTCAAGCAAGGTTATGTAACAGAAATGGTGCTAAGAGTTGACCAGACACATTTGAGCATGAATCTTACATCAAGTAAACATTGGACTAACATATGAGCATAGTTAACGTGATATGATGAGCAAGTGGGCGTCCTTTCATTGAAGATTGTCGAGAAAACACTCGGGATGGCTTAGGAAGCTGTAAACCCGCTTGTTTTAGGTGTGACATAGCTTTGCCTGTTCTCAAAGAGTTTTTTCTTCACCGCCAGATTGTTGCTTAGAAAGTTCTTCCTTCTACTAGCTTCAGCCTTCGGTTTTATTGTTGTCTGAACCGTACTTGATGGCTTCCGGAATCTCACTGTACTTCTAGGGTATGGAAAACACATAAATGCAGTAAGTATCATTGAGGCGGCATCTGTATCGAGCTTCTTATCTCATCAGCAAACTCGGCCGGAGGTTCCGTGCGTTTTGTGGGCCTATTCCTCAGGTCTACACGTTATAATTGATTTGGGACTTGCCATGTCTTCTACTTTGTTTCGTTGATTGAGCTTACATTTCTGTACGATACCGTATTCCTTTCCAAGAAAGCCGGAATCGTCTTTCACATCGGTTAAAGGTGAAAGGTGAAAGGTGAGATCTTCGGATTGAACACTTATCCTGCCCCGGACAAGTGGTACCACTGATCGGCAGTATCTGGTGACTAAGTCTTCAATTGCTCAGAATATCATAGACATTCAATCACACCTCTAAGTCACCCATTTCCTGCGCTTGTCACAATTTCTAGTACCCGGAGTATCTGGCCACTATTGAAGGTATAGGTGACAATTGAACAATGGTCTCCTCCACGGTTGACATCTTGTTTGTGCTTTACCAATCCATTCACAATCATCTTCATTTTGCTTATGGAGCTCTTTTGTGGCCGTCCACATGATCAGAAGAGAAAAGAGCTTGCATCAATTCTGCATGCCTCTACACTCATCATGATTCACATGCGGTAAACCCTAGTCTTTTCAACAAACTTCAAAGAAAAGGTTAACTGGATGAAAGTGACAGAGGGGGAGATAGTGGATTTCTTTTGCACACTATTGCATAATATTTTGTGATACTCCATACCTTTGTATGTGAGTCATGCGGTTTCATCAATCACACTCCCCACCCCCCCTGATGATACACTCTTCCTTTCTACATAAAGCTCCAACCAAGCAGTGTCAAGTCTGTCAGTCTTACACGTTTGATCTCATGTCTCAAATTCCAGAATGAAAGGTGTTATCCGTTTTGACATTTGACATTTTGACATTTGACATTTTGACATTTCAACATCATATGTCATCTTCATGCCATATTGTATGGAGTACCTTCACGACTTTTTTCATCATTTGACATATATCAAGACATCCCCCACCTGATCTGATCTTTGTCTTTCATTTCTTACTTTTCTCATTATCACCTCCAACAATTGAACTATTGATTTCTTTTTCCGACAACTGATTCGTCAATACTCAAGTCTTACATATAACAACACACCAATCCAAAGACAGTGGCTTCACACTCAACTCTCACATAAATATCTGCCCTGATCATCTGTGATACTCTCATCAATTATATTGAATATCTTGAAGATAACAACCATCTTACCATGTCGGACATTCAGAGCATGACCACAGCCCAAAGTCTGAGTCCATCAGAAGTGACTCAATGGTGTTTATCCCACGGTCGGACTGTTGACCTTGATGGGAAGCGTGAGAGTGAGTCTTGATCTAGTCACCTGTATACACTCTCTACCCTTTTTTTCCTTGACAAGAGAGCAAGAATGGAATACAAACATGATTGTAATACAAACCTGATTGTAATACAAACATGATTGTAATCTTCACTTTTTCCTTCAAGCTCTTTCTCCAGCACTCACGAATCATCCTGGTCAATGACAGAGTCTACTTCATCTCCCTTGTGAGACTTGAATGATCCGTGATCATCTCCATCATGACAAAAACTGATCTTATACAGAGTTTCACAATTATCTCTCCCAAGCCAAATCATTCTTAGCGGATGAGACTCTCTTTGCCAACAACTCATCCCTCGGAACAGAACTGGCAAATGTTTATCAATCTGCTAGATCAAACTTAATCAGCACTTTAGACAAATACGCTTCTGGTGCTGCTGATAAGGCCTTCTCCTATCATGCCCACGCCCACGGTGAGGAAGACTGTGATGCTCTCGACAACAAAACTGGTTGTGGAATAGGTGAAGTCTTCATCCACGAATTGTCACAGAACTTGGGAAATTTGTTGCTATCTAAGATTCATGACAATTATGATACTGCCCATGACACCAGAGTAGACTGTACCGCATCGACTACGGTTGAATCCAAACATGGGTCTGACTCGGAAATCGATGCTAGCTCGGAAGCTACTGAGGTCAATGGGGACCAAATGTTCTTGAGTTTCCTAGCAAAAGCATATTCGACAATCACGAAAGCTACCAATTCCATTCATACTGGACCAATCCAAGTCTTCAGGAAAGATATCAAGGAACTCAGTGGTCGAAAACTTGACGCCGTTTCCACGGCCATGAAGACAATCGAAGGTAGCATTAACAGGGAAACACCGCGAGAAATCATTGAACAAGCTCTGGAGGGATATTCCCCTCGGCCCGAGGCTTTAGGCCTAACGGGGGAGGATCTCGATGACGGAGACACTGATAGCTACGCTGATTGGCTTCACTGGGGCAGAAGGGGTGTTGAAAGATTGACAGAGCTCGGATTTGAAGACGGCGAGACTCAGGTGAAAGCGGTTCGTTCAGCCATGTCTAGGATTGAGTTGTCTACTTGGGGAATGGTGAACATGACTCGTAATTCCATTTCTCAGCCGTTTGACCGCTGTGACGTGTTGAGTCTTCGAAAGTTGACAGAGGAGATTTGTGAGGTCATCACAACAGGTTGGAGGATTAAGGCTGAGGATAAGGCAGAAGACTGAGAGTCAACGGCCTTGCTCTGCTGGCTGAAATGCCACATTTTGTACATATGTTCGACTATGTCGAGAGTCTCATCCTTAAGTTCGGGTTGGAAGTTCTTAGTACTTAGCTATGAGTCAGAAGGGACGAGATGCACGTACTCATGACATCAATGTTAGCCGAATCGGGCCAGGACGGCCGAACCGCCGTTGGATAATTACCCCTTCCGTCGAATATTTCTCCGTTCAACTTATCCTCTGAACTCTATTCGATCGTCTCTGGTTTACTGCGTGTGAGTGGGTTGTGATAAGTATAGAGACATGTAGAATTGATGCATGCTCTCTTCCCCCTCTGTATTGTGAAATTCCACGTCAGACTGATAGATTACGTTCCGTCACTCCCTATACCTCTAGCCATCTCTCCTGGTTGCTCTTTATCGCTTTTATCATAGCTAAGAGTAACCAGGTGAGTTCTTACTCATGCATCGCTTTTATCATAGCTAAGAGTAACCAGATTTATGCGCACGGCTATCTAGCGATCATCCTTGACATGTATTACCATCTAATTATCAGCAAACAGATTACCCCTTATGAGGGGACTTGTCATGTACCAGGCAGATGTCAAGTATTGGTCCTTTTCGACGGAATCGGATGTTCCGTTCACCTGTTGTTCGCTCAGCACTATTTGAGAGTGATGAGGAGACAACAGGAAGAATCTAGGTAGTTATGATAGGTTAGGCGGCGTTTACCGCATTAAGAGGACACATGGGCGTATCACCTATCTCCGTCGCTTTTAGTGAGGACGTTATGATACAGGTCCCTTGCTGCATTCATGACATCTTCCCGCCATTGAAGATTGTCTAGACACTCAGGATTGCTTAGAAGATATAAACCCTGCTTGTTTCCGGTGTGAGATAGCTTCACCTGTTTGATAAAAGGGTTATTTCTCCACTACTAGATTGTTGGTTAGAAAGTGTCAGGACCAGAGGTTGAAAATAGTCTGTGTCAATGAGCTGTGGCTATAGGGCGTTGTAGGTACCAGACCTAGTGATCTACCAGATAGTCTAGTGAGGTAGTGGATCGAAGGAGCTATAAGCCGATGAGACCCAGTGGCAAAAGATTTACTAAGTGACAAGAAAATACCTTTGACAAGACATCCACAAAGAGAGGCTGTTTCTATGTACTGAAATGGAAGCGGAGTGATACTGAAATCTATGGAGTAAAGATGGAGAATAATATGAGGTAGAAGATCAAAGGAAGGCAGATAAAACAGAGATGAAGGGAAAGTATCATGTGGTGTAAAATTGGCAACTAGGTGGAAAAGGAGAATGGGTCCGTACCGGAATAGGTGTTGATCAGTAATGCCACGTAACTGCGATAAGGATTGGTCATAAGATTTTGTTCCGCAGTCTTTGATGCAAATCTTTACTATCATCGTAATCGTACAGTCGGGTCCAAAAAGTCATGCAACTGCTTTTCATAGTAGTTTGGCAGGTGAATCATGGTAGTCAACTTTGATGTGCTTTACAACACTCAGCTTAGGGTATGCATGGCTAAATTCATAAGACAGTTTGTACATCTATCCAATCCAGATCTGTCAAGCTGCTTTTGGTTCGGATGTATGACTGAGAGTGACATGTGACAATCATATTATGAAGGGGCACTTTCGACCATTTTGACCAAAGACCATGATTTTTGACCAAACTGTATGATGTTCTACGTGTTTCCCAGACAAAACTCTACAATGTTAATGCTTAGCTACTTGTGATTTCTGGTAGAGGAGAATCCTGCAGATATTTTGGTAGGATTTGACCCCCATGCATGCAGACATCTCAAAGATATGTGAACCTCAATCTCCCACACCAATTTTCCCAGCCAAATTACTAAGAAGAGCCGTGGCATGACTTTTTGGACCCGACTGTACTTGTTGTGCACTTCGAATACTACCTGTACTTGGAGCTCATCCTGAGGACGCAATTCACGTAAAGTCTGCATATATATGAGAGGTTTCAAGGAGGCATCAGCGTCGCTAGTATTCCGTGCGCTTCTCACTCACCTCGTTTTGGGCCTTAGTAAGTTGTGGAAATCAACTCAAGGACCCATCAGATACATGAGCGGTCAGGCAGGGAGGTTCAGGCCCTTCCTAGACCCTTTAATATAGGTAATCTGTTGCGCCACCATAGGTACAGTACATCCGTCCTTCACTGACAAGTGCCAATAGTGGTCCAGCCAGTGATGCAGAGATATCATACATTTCCATGGGTATCAGTTCATTCAGCTCATTTCCTTCCTATGTACAATGTTGGTTCTGGTTGGAGGCATCCATGTTTTAACCACATTCTGCTCCAAAAGTCGTCACTCTCTCCTTGGTCATCACCTCGCTTACTTCTTGCCGTACGGTCATACACTGTCACATATCGTGTAGGAATGAAAGGAAGAACTACCCGTTTCGTTCTACTCTCGCCTTCCACTCGGTTATTGTCTTCTTTTGTGGCTATCATACGACCATCTCGCTTCTTGGGGATAGTGTCAGGACCAGACGTTGAAAATAGTCTGCGTCTATGAGCTATGGCTATAGGGCCTCGTAGGGAATAGACCTAGTGATGTAGTTTATAGTCTAGTGTTGTGGTGGATCAAAGAGACTATAAGTCAATGAGATCAAGTGGCAAAAGATTTGCTAAGTGACGAGAAAATACATTCAACAAGACATCTACAAAAAAGGGCTGTTTCTATATACTAAAAAGGGAGCGGAGTGATACAGAAATCTACGGAGTAAAGATGGGAAATGATATGAGGTAGAAAAGCAAAGGAAGACGGAGATAGATGAGGGACACGGAGATGAAGAAAAAGTATAGCGAAGTAATAAAATAGTGACTAGGTGTAAAAGGAGAACGGAGGACGCCGTAGCGGGATTAGTGAGGCGGGGACGGGAACGCGTAGGTGGAGTACGACTTGCGCGTACGACTCTTGAGGAACCCGTCTACTGGTACCCGTGTGTCAGGATCAGGTAATCACGGGTACCTTACCTAGTAGTCGTACTCTTTTTCCTATTCCCGTCCCCGTCTCCATTCCCGCTTGCGGGCTTACTCCGTTTGCTACTACGCCTAGTACCAATCTTTCGACACCTCTACCCTTTTTTACATCTCCTTCTCGGTAACTATCATCGCTCTTCCTCTGCCATTCTACCTCGACTTCATTCCAAACTACGCATGCTTTTATCGGTATCATCCCGCTCTCTTTTTAGTATATAGACGTAGTCTTTTCTCAGCAATGTCTTGTCAAATGTATTTTGTGTTTTCCTAGTTATATCATTTGACATACAAAAGATCTCTTCGATAAACTAAATCACTAGGTTTGTTCCCTACAAGGCCTCATTGTCACAGCTCATCGACGCAGACTATTCCAACGTCTGGTCCTTACACCGTGATCCTGACAGATAGCTGATCTATCTTGAAGGGTTAAAAAGCCCGTGCGTGTACATACGACCCAGTATTTCTCCCACCCTTGAAATTCCCCAATAAAGAGCAACCCTCATATCATCAAGTAACACTTCAAGACTATTGTAACAACTTCAAAATATTCAAAGACATTCGTGATCTATCTTCAGGTAGCACACATATATCCTACAACCCACCGAAAACATCATGCGCTCCGGCAATTCACATGTCACCACCACTCAGAGACGTCCCGAGAGGAAGTCTACACTCACCCATGAACAAATAAATGAGTGGCTTCTCACAAATGGTTTGGATGTACAACTTGAGGCACAACGTGAATGTGAGTACTACCTCATCCTCCTACCTACACCGCCTGTCATATATTCTCACATCATTACATACTCTCCAATGTCTTTCATTGACACCATGAATGAAAAGGCTGACCTCAGACTTCTACAGTACCCTCTCCCGGGCTTTGACATGCTTAGAAGACAAAGAAATCATGACTTGCCTGAATGTGAAGTCCCAACCCGATCTGAGTCGAGTTTTTCAACACAGTCATCAAAACCTGATCCACATGCTTGAAACTTACATTGACTGCAATGGAGATATCGGTTTTGATCGTCTGGCTCACGACGATTGTGATATTCTTAACCCTGGAACCGGTTGTGGTATGGTAGAACACACTATCGGGGAGCTGACTAGGGTTGTGGGAGACTTTTTTCTGACAGTCTACCCATTAAGCATCTTACAAGAGTGTGCTTCCAAAGACCAAGATCAAAATGATGATGATGATAATGACTATCAATCATCTGCCAGCTCCTCTCAATCTGGTAACAAAGGAGAGAGTATGGTCTACAAAAGGCAGGATGAGAGGTACATTTCGAAGCATGATGAGCCCCAAGACAGTTCAGATTCAGACCGTCTCCCACACTCTCTAGCAAAGGCATATAAGACAATTTCTTTGATACCTCAGATGGTACATTCAAACAAGGACAACATCCTTGATAGTAGAGCTGAATTCCTCAATAGAAGCAGACTTGACATAGATATTGTGGACAACGACACTGCAAACAGTCTGAGAAGTATTTTGGAAGGAACCATCAAGGGCCATACTCCCAGGACAATTCTGGAAGCCGCCAGGACACAAATCAACACACAGAGGACAAACAAGACTTCTGAGTTGACTGGACAAGATATATTGACAAGTATGGGTTTTAAGGGAGAACAAGATCAAATGACCGCTATAGAAATTGCTTCCCATAGGTTGCAGCTCTCAGCTCTAGCCATTGGGTACATCACCATCAAGGCGGTCAATTACTCATGGGCAGCCTCTGATGTACTAAGTGTCCGAAAATTGGAGAAAGAGCTCTGTGAAGGGATTAGCAATGATCAGGAATTCACAAAAGATCTGATAATGAAGCAATCATGATCACCTGAGCTTTTGTAGGTCGTCATTGGGTTTCTTCAATCATTTTGTGTTGAGGAAACTACCGGTAGTAAATGACGTTCATGGTGGGTGATTTGAATTTCTGAGATGTTAGATATCACAGACAACACAAATGCCTGTACAGATCCTTTGTCATCCTTGCCCCCCTACAAAATCCATAGTGTCGCAGGAGCTTTGTTTGAGCAGTTGCCTGCAACAAGTTTGCATTGATCTCCTTTCATGATGTTCATGATTGTAGTGCACATGCTTCAATCTGAAAAAAAAGCATGTATCAAGCATCTGAGAATGTCCAAAAACTCAGGGGTAAACAAAGGGAAGGCTACAGTGGATGAGTTTCAGCTATCTGTCTCTTCTGATCACTGCCTACTTAATCATGCGCCCTCACTGTTTCTTCACTCTTTCCCATTCTGACTTGAACATAACTTGATTTCACAACTCAAATACCTCGGTCTTGTCACCCTAATTCAATCACACACTGAACACATATCATGAACACAATCACTGATGAAAGAGGGGGCACTGAGTACACCTATGGCAACTCAAGAACAAGCCGTGAAGGACAGGTTGATGTGTGGTTATCCAACAATGGTTTCGATTCACATCTCAAGGCAAAACGTGCGGGTGAGTGTTGGGTATGCCACTTCTATCCCCATGAGTGTTCATTGTTCTCAGGTTTGTTGAGAGCTCAAGCTAAATTGACCTCAGATTTCATCAAGACACTCTCTGAGGCTGTGACAGTTGTCCAAGATGACGACTGGTGTCCGGATGTGACCTCTTCCCCCGAACACGCCAAGATCATCAAATATAGTCGGGAAAACCTCATTGAGACATTGAGAGATTACATTGCCGGTCGTGGAGACAAGGTCTTTCACCGACCTTCGCATACAGCTTGTAGCATCTGGGACGGACAGACCGGATGTGCAGCCAAGGAAAGGACAATTGGGGACCTGACGAAAAGTGTGGGAGATTTTGCAATGACTATCACTCCACTGATAGCTTTTGCTACTTCTTCGCCCTTTGAACAGGCATCGGAGAATCCTTGCAAGTCTGAAGAAGACGAAGTCAACAGCACTAGCAACAACACTGCATAAGGTCTCAAAGAAAACTTTGCATTAGAGAAAAACAAGCAGGATCGATGGAACCATCTTGTTAACGCCATGTTGCAATCCCTCACCAAAGCAAGTTTGATCCTTTTCTCAGCCAAAGACATGATACATACGACCCCACATAATGTTCTCTCTAAGTCAGCCAACCTTACAAGTGGTATGACTTTGCACAACGGATCCTGGAATACCAAAGATGTGGACCAACTCAAGACATTCTTGGAAGGTACCATAATGAAACATAAACCAGCATACATCTTGACTGCCGCTAGCAATGAGGTTGCACGGCAAGAAGACCTTGCCAAACAGGAAGAAGTAGTACATTTCCCATGGAATCCAGATGATGGGAAGTTTTGCGGGAAGGATACATTGACGTCACTGAGGATTGAAAGTCACAACAATCAGTTACAAATAGTGAAGATGGCGTCTACAAGGCTTCAGCTTGCTCACTGGGGAGTCAAGTCGGTTATAAGGGAAACCCCGATGTGGGACAGCTCTGATGTGTTTTGTATCCGGGAACTGGCACAAGAGACCTGTGAAAGGCTCATTTCAGCAGCACCAACTTCTAAACCTTGATTTCAAGAGATTGTGAACTGAATGGGCAGATCAGGTGTCACATGGATGATGTTGTGCATGCATTATGGTGCATTCTTCATGATTACAGCAGAGGACCTGCATCATTTCAACCCCGATGAGAGGCTCATTAGTTGACATTTGCAGGGCAGATTTGAGTTCTCTCAGATGGTATATGCAGTCCCAGACAGAATGCTGATCATATTAAGGACCCCGGAAACAGACCACTCCGGAATCACACGGTTCCAAAGACCCCTCTTGGACCCAGCCGGAGAAAAGTGCCCCTCTGGAGGTGTCCCGACCGTCTCGCGGAATTTCTGATCAGCTCCAGCGGTAATCTAGGAGACAATCCTTCCTCATTGTGTGAAAGCAAACAATCCATGCAGTAGTGTTTGCTGATAATAATATGATAATACAGAGGGGGAAAAGAGCATGCATCAATTTTACATGTCTTCATACTTATCACCTTCCACTCACACACAGTAAACCAGACAATCAAATAGAGTTCGGCGGACAAGTTGAACACAGGAATATGTTAGCTGACGGACGGAAGATCGTGACCTTCGAAGCTGCATGGGGGAGGTCATGACAGACTGAAGCGTGCTGCTTCAACGTGGCATGACCATTTGAGCCATGATCAGTGGAAGATTTCAGCTACACCAATCCACACCACCCCTCATGGCCTCAGACTTGGAGAAAGATATCTTCAGAGCTAGCTTCATGACCCCACACATTTGAAATAGGGAAATGACATGCATGGAGTGATTTCTACCCTCCTGAAGCTTGACTCTTTGAGGACACATAGATCCTTTGATCTTCATGCTACCCGGGAAGAGCTGTCAAGTCTGATAGGTTTGGGTCACTAGCTCATGATCAGGCATCAAGAAGTATCCTGTGAAGTGTCATGGGTGGTGAGGGTAATTTCTTCCATGTGTCATGTCTTCAGTTCGGGGGAGAAATCCGTGCAGCTTCCAAGTGTCACGGCTTCTGTCCGTCACGTAACAAATATACCCATCGGTCCTTACCAGGTGGTGAAATATATGTGTCACGTGACCTACGGAAGCCGTTGGAGGGTCACGGGGGTTAGCATGACTGAGGGGAGATCTGTGCCACTTTGGAGCATCATGGCTTCTCGACCATGACCCCCCAAAGAATCATCCCTCACCACCAACCACTGATCTAGACAGTCACAGTATTCTAGAGGAGGATGTTGGAGGTGGTGAGAGGATACTAGAATGATTTGTCTGTCAGATTTGACCATGCATGTTGTGAAAATCACGCTCCATGGTCCTTATCAAGAGGTCAAATAAGTAGAGGACTATGCATCCCTGGCCGCTTCTTCCCGCAGAATGTCATGCAGTATACCTTGCCATGCAATGAGGACTGTGTTTGTGAGTTATGGGTTTGGTCAGGACCAATTCTTCTGTGGGTCATGGATTTCCCAACAGTCATGCTAACCCCGCCGTTTTGAAGCGTCACAGCTTCCTTCTGTCACCTAACATATGCCTCTTGGGCCTGTCCCACATCAGTTGGGTGTGAAAAGTCATGCAACCGGGTTTCTTGGTAATTTGGCTTCATGAATCTGTGTGTCAGATTGCAGAGATGTTACCTCTTCCATCTTATCATGCATGGTGCTCAAATCCTACCAAAATGTCCGCCCAGCTGTGTTCTATCAGTATGTAGAGTTCTTTTGGGATTTTGGACCAAAAAGGCACATCTTCTACTAAATTCCGGAAAAGTGCCTTGTCTTCCCATGAGGTCCATACAAAAGTCTCAGTGTCATACACATGCACAAGGTGTGCAGTAGACTTATTCCTCGAAAGGCCAGCAGACTTTAGTAAGACATGTACTGTACAATGGATTTGGTGAAATGGGTGAGATACATCCTGTCAAAATTGATCGCAGTGATTTCCCAGCCAAATTACTATGAGAAGCCATTGCATGACTTTTTACACCCAATTGTAATTGGACAGTGTACACTCAGTCTTCAGCTACTCAATCATGCATGAGGATTGGTTTGGGAGATGCACAGCTGAATCAAGATGGAGCCTTCCATGTGTCCTATCTTTGGTCCATCACAGGTACCCCCATGACACTTCAGAGCATCACGGCTTCCGTCCGTCACCTAACATAAAGACTTTACTGATTTCTACGATTTTCATTGAGATCATTCCCTTCTTACCCACGATCTCGCTTGTGCACAAAGCTTATCCTATAGGACCCGACTTTCCTCTTCCCCCGTCGCCACTATAACTTACTCTACTGTAGTCCAGATCTCGCTTACCTCGTACTGAAAATACAGTCCCGCACTCTCACATGTCTCGAAGAAATGTAAGGAATACCTGACCAATGTCGTCCATTTTGGTTATTAGCCTTCCACTGCTTATCTTACTTATGGTCTTCTTCTGCAGCTGTCAGACATCGATCTCGCTTATGCGGACCATTTAGTCTACTGGGAAGGGTTAAAAACCGTGCGGATGGGAGCTCAGAATCTCCATGACTTCCTGTCAGGTTGTCTCTGCGTGATGTGCATTCATGAGGCACTGGATCTCATGAGACCTGCCAAATTGTAATTTTCTATATGTTTGATACTTCAAAATGTTTCACCAAGATTTTTAAATGAATTGGAGTTGTAGTGGTAGAACACCGAGCAATGTTGTAGATTTCAAGTTGTGGGGCCAGACCACGGCCATGACCTCAAGAGTGCAGAAGATGGTACCACAGGATATCTGTACTGTGATTTATGTATGTGGAGAGCTTGGGGATCACAAGAGTGAGAATGGTCTGGCCGTGTCCGCAGCCCTCTGGAGCTGCATGGTTCTCTGACTGTGTCCAAGAGGGGGTTTTTGAGCCATGCAGCTCCGGACGTGCACGTCTCCGGCCGTGTCCTTAACATCACTGCTGAGAGATAAAGTGAAACATGTGATATCTCCTCTGTATCCTAGACACACAATGATGTCCAAGTCGTCAGATACAATCAATGGGAAGATGAAACAAGTTTCAGCTGTCTGTCCCTTATAACAATTCTCCTCTTTCCCTTTGTAGGTTGTCACGTATCGTGACAATTTCGTCACTGTTGTCTCATCCTTGATCAAACTTATCTGCATCTCACAACTTGAACTCCTCATAATTACAGCATGAGCCTTAGCCTCTCCTCAAGGATGGATATCATGAACACAACTAATGACAAAATTTGCAACACCCAACAGAGTCCTGATGACACAAGGACCAATCGTGAAACACGGGTTAACCAGTGGTTGTCTAAGAGTGGTCTCGATACCCATCTCGAAGCGAAGCGTACAGGTGAATCTCAAATCCCACCTACTGTACACAAATCTTCACACGAATTTGTTCAAAGTCCCCTGTATACCTTTGAAGACGCCCTGTAGACTGACATCCAGAATTTGTGAATACGCTCTCTGAAGCCTTGACGGTACTCCAAGACGACATGTTGTTACCCAGAATGAGTTCCAATCCTGAACTTGCCCAGATCATCCAATACAGCCGACAAAACTTGATTGACACTTTGAGCGATTACATTTCTGGCCGTGGAGACAAGACCTTCAACAAACCTTCTCATACCCACTGTTACGTATTGAATGCAAGTACAGGTTGTGGAAATACGGAAAGAACACTTGGAGAATTGTCAAAAAGCGTTGGAGATTTCGTATTGGCTTTCACTCCACTTACGAATCCTACTGTGTGCGCCTCATCACATTACCCACAGGAGTCATTACGCAATCCTTTCAGGTCCGAAGAAGACGACAGCGAAAATGACAACAGAGAAGAGGAAGACATACAAGACATACAAGATGGGACCCAATTTGATAGTCTCACGGGTCAACATGGAGCAAGTCGTACAGATGGAATCAAATCAGTGATACATCCCGCCAATTTCATGTTGAAATCCCTCACTAAGGCAAGTATGATACTCATCTCAGCCACGGACATGGCACATACAGGTCCACAAGACGTTCTGAACAGGTCCTTCAACCTTCCAATCGGCATGAATGCTCACAATGGACTGTGGAAGACCAAAGATATGGAACAACTCTGGTTGCTCTTAGAAGGAATGATATCTGGTCATAAACCTAGAGACCTCTTGACTGCTGCTAGTAATGAGGTTGAAAAGTTAAAAGAGCAAGCTAAGACAAAAGATCTTGATTCATACCATTGGTCATCAGATGAAGATACTTTCAGAGACAAGCCTACATTGACATCAGTGAGTATCAAGGGAACAGATACTCAAGTCCAGACAGTGAAATTGGCCTCAAGTAGGATTCAGCTTGCCCACTGGGGAGTGACTTCCATCATGGGGAAAACCCCAATGTGGGACACTTCGGGTGTGTTTAGTATCAGAGAGTTGGAGAAAGATATCTGTGAGAAGCTTATATCTTTGAAGCCGTCTGTTGTTGGAGGGATCAGATAAGCTACACGTGTTTGAACTTTTCTCCTGTTTGCTCGTTCATGTCTTCATGCATTACTATATCGTTGAATTTCAACAGATTATGAGACCCGTGCTTTAACCGACTAAGCGAATTCAGCTCGCATCATCTACTAAGCACACCCATCACATTGTTCATTCAACCAGCTCGACCGACCGGCCACCTCGCTTGTCCTGTCATTGCTGGAGGATATATTGGGAAGTCAGGAAGACTAGCCTTTTGTGTGAGTGTGTTGAGACCTGTCCCCTGCAAATAGTTGATGGGATGCGGAGACAGGGTGGACAGCAGAAGTTTACAGCAAGCTTGGTCTAGGACTGGCGGGCGTAGACCGTAGTGCTGGTTCAAAGGTCGACAGAAGATGTATTGAGTAGGAAGAAGGTAATAAATATAGATCAAGCATATAAGTGTCTAGTAGTTGGAAATATATACAAAGGAAGGTGAGACTTTGGAGCGAAGGCCCAAAGTCAGACTTGATGATAGATGGAGTGTGTCACGAATATACGACTGATGATGATGAAGCCGCAATGGTGTGTCTCAAACAGTCTTAAAGGCAACAGTAAGTTAGAGTAGAGAGCTAGAATCAAAGATGACAATTGATCAGAGAGACAGAGAAAGAAACAGAGAGCTAGAACCACTATTTATAGACAAAAACCTCAAAACTGAGCCCAGAACTCTTTCCTCTCCTCTCCTACTTCCAGGGGGGAAACCCTGAGGAAACCCTGTATCAAAAACAGCATTTCAAACAACTTTACAGAAGGCTCTGTATCATCCTGGAAGCCCCTTGAGGTCCCCTACAAGAGATCTCATCATTAAAGGTTGAAAAGTCATGAAAAGAGAGACGAACAAAGGATCCGTGGGAAGTGAAACTCTTGGTTGAGCTCTGATCTTTCAGGGGGTTCAGAGGGTGTTTCTTAAGCGCCCACATTATGCAGACTTTGACCCAAAAATACCTAGTTCAGTCCTGCGGGTTTGGTAGAGGTTCGAGAGGTTCGAATATAGGCTAAATATGCTACGTAAAGTGGTTTTCCTTCTGGTTCTTTCAGTTGAGTCGTCCGCACTGCTGAAACAGATGAAACCTCTGACTGATAGTGAGTACTCCTCATCACTAGTGTGTACTCTTCATCAGTGGCGTACACTTCTCAATCAGTAGTGGGTGTGTATTGATCAGTAGCGTGTTTTCCCTATTTAAACACGTGTTTTCACAAGGCTGTCCTGACGACCGGTTGACCGGTTGATCCTGTGATTGACCCGGTGATTGACCCGGTGATTGACCCGGTGATTGACCCGGTGATTGACCCGGTGATTGATCCTGTGATTGATCCTGTGATTGATCCTGTGATTGATCGGCAAACCAGTCATTTGGTAACCGAGGGAGTCGTACTACCGTTGACGGACGTACGTACTCTTCCATGACGTCAGTGGCGTGATTGCTAATTAAGGTACCCGTGATTGATCACTGATTGAGGTACCCGTAACTGATGGCTAATTAAGGCACTAATTAGTAATTAAGGAATTGATGGCTAATTATTGATCATTGATGATTCTGTTGATTGTTGATTGGGTCGGGTTCATATACAGAAATAAATGCTGATCGGCCATAGGGCTAATATTGCTCCTGAGGTACCCTCGCTTATTAGTTCGTCCGATCTGAGCGGAACCGAGGACACGGAACCTGGTACATGACGGCCGGAGCTTGGGATGACGACAGATGACGATAGATGATGACAGATGACGTGATTGATGTATACAATGTTGAGTCAGGTTGACTCAGTGATGGGAGGTGATTAACGTTGAATGGTGATCCACATGTCGTATGATGGAATGAGTTGAGACGAGATGAGTAAAGTTGACTGGACTTGAGTGGATGATATACACGTGGTATTTACAGAGATTCGAGGGTTATGACAGAGTGCCACCCTGTTATGACCCGGTCAGGATGAAGCGTGTCATAACCCATGCTTTGGCTCATATAGCTCTACCGGAGCTCATGCAGCTGACTAGAAGCACCATATGATCCATGAGCCAAATACAGAGCTCTCTATGATAGTTCAGTAAGCTCTACCAATGTTCTACCAGGGTTTCTGTTAGATCATATGAGCTAGTCTATGGCTCGGGGAAGGCTCAATAGTGTCATTAGTAAATGGGATGTGAGCTATGGAATAGCTCACTGAGCCTTGCTCACTCTGATAGCTCTAGGTAGACTATATAAACCCCGTATCTACTTTGAAGTTGCTTTTCTTCTCCAAGGATCAATATGTTATTTGCCACTCACTGAAAACCTCATCTTAACATACCTTCTAACTCGACCACTCGACAGCTCAAGCAAGCAGTACTTCAACACTGCTTATCATTAACTTGCCACTGTCCTCATCGCATTTTATCCCTTTGTCATCATCTCGACTTGCTCGGATCCTTTGCAAGTCACTTAGTCGTCCGACCACATCACAAGTTTACGAACAGCATACTAACTTACTGACCGTTGCTGTTCAAGCTAACTAAACAGTTGTAGTCCACCTGTCTCTGATACTTCGAGGTCTGACAGGGACAGGGTCGTGACACACCCGTAGGATGATCTTGCACTGTCTATGGTCAAAGATAACTTTGGGGAGAGTGGAGAGGTAATCAGGAAAAGTGAGGTGTTTTGAGTCAGTTTTTGTCGTGAAAGTAGATACCCATTCCGCCGCCTTCATATACCTTTCAGAGTCCCACGTTTCACATGGATTCCCACAATCCACAATGAAGTGTGTGGAGTCACATGACTTGCACAATCCACAATGAGGTGTGTGGAGTCACATGACCTGCACAATCCACAATGTGGTGTGTGGAGTCACATGACCTGCACTATCCACAATGTGGTGTGTGGAGTCACATGACTTGCACAATGTACAATGTGGAGTCACATAACTTCATATTGAAGTATTATGACCTGGTCATAACAGAGTGGGAGTGTGTGTCACGCCTGCGGGTAGACTGCGGTTGCAAAGTACTGCCTTGGGTACTGAAGGGTTTTAGTCTCTGGCTCGTAGAGCTTGATGACTGCCTTAGGTACTGAGGGTACTGAGGTGTTGGGTTAGAACCAACTAGGTGACTTTCAAAAATGAAGTTCAACTTCAAGATGAAGATACATTGCTGAAGAAAGAGGGGGGAGATAGGCTCCTTTTATACCCTTCAAAATGACTAAACTGCTAAACTATAATTTGCAATCTGACTAAACTGATAAACTAGTATTTGCAATCCCTAAGTCCTATTGGCAATCCTTGAGTCCTTATTTGCAATCCTTGATTGGGGATTGGCAATACTGCTATGGTGATTTGCAATGCTGATTAAGCATGCACTACAATTACTACTTCAGGAAGGTGGAGGCATGTGGAGGCATGTGGTGATTTGCAATGCTGATTAAGCATGCACTGCAATTACTACTTTGGGAAGGTGGAGGCATGTGGAGGTGGTGCCTGAGTGATAGCAAAATCCACATCATGCGTCTTTCATGTTTTGACTGTGGCAGTGTGGCAGAGCCACTCTGGATTCATGACAGTGTGACACGCCTTAGGTGTTATACCAACAGTTGCTTCACTTGAACGTCATTCCCTTCTTGCTTGTTCAAACGGTTGACCACCACATACCTAGAGAACTCAGCTGACATCAACTAGATCGAACTCGTCCCGTCCTGTCCTCATCTCGCTTTTTATCAGCAGCATCACCCCATCATGTCGTCCAATGATCTCTCCAAATCGTTTGACACTGTGCCCAAGCTCACTGGGAAAGAAAATTACCTGGTATGGCATCAGAGGTTGACAGTTGTTCTCTTCATGACCCGAACTCGCTCGTTCGTTCTCCCCACCACCATTGCGCCAACTGCTACCACAACAACATCCTCCACTGGATCATCCCTTTCGCTCAAGGCCTGGAACGAACGAGATGAACAAGTTGCTGCCGCCATCCTCCACTCCACTTCTGAGGATATCCTCTCTGCTCATCTTCACCTTCTATCTGCTGTTGATTCCCCTTCAACTGATTGACCGGTTTCCACCACCAACTCCCCTGCTTATTGAGCTCGAACAATCTATGATTCACTCAAGAAGACCTATGGAACTAATGGTGCTCAATACTCGTTCACTCTGGGGAAGAAGTTTGTGGATAACAGGTGTTCAGAGGATGAGGCTGTTGAAGAATGGGTGAACAAAGTGCTCGCTCGATATGATGATTTCAAGGTTCTGTCGTACGATCTCGATCAACTCGGTGTCAATGTTCTGCTCAATGGTCTTCCTGATTGCTTCAGTTTGTTCATCAATGGCATTTGGAAGGAAGATGAGACCCCTTCTGTGGAAACATCAGATTGAAATCCTTCGAGTGAACGCAGGTCAGCGGAACTGAACGAATGACAACGCTCTAGCAGCTCAAGTTTCTTTACTTTCTATGCGCCAAACCTCAGCTGCTCGCTCGAGCAAAGACTCCCTCATGGTATTCTATGCTGGATTGAAGAAGGCAGGGAAGGGACCAAATAAGGAACATCCCTGTGCACGATGTGGATCGGTGGATCATTGGGTGGTAGACTGCCCAGATCCTGCATCCTTGAACGAGCGAGGCAAAACCAAGAAATGGAAGGGGAAGAAAGAAAAGGGTTGACTGAACAAGGTTGCTGCTCCTGTAAACAGTAACAGAGACAGCTGCCATTGCCTCACAAACTATCACCTTGTTTGAATGCAATGATATCAAACATCTCCTCCTCACCACTGACAGCAACTCGATCTCACTTGCTGCTCGTTCAAGCAAATGTATTCTGGACTCGGGGGCAGGTGGACACATGAGTGGGGACATCAATTGGTTGAAGGATCTCAAATCAATTGAGTCAATTGCTTGGATCACAACTGCTGGTGAGAGAACGCCTTGCACCAAGCTCATGCGGCTCGGTCAATCTTACAAACCCTCCCGCTCACAAAGTACAGTCGGGTGTAAAAAGTCATGTCCGTGTGGACATTTTCACCTCACATTCCGTCTGACTTGTTTCCCCTCTAGATCACCATATCTCATGCATCAGGATAGCTCTTGACCTGAAACTTGACAAGCATATGCATGATAATGCTCTCAGCCAAAATACTGAGTTTCACATGCATGCGGTAAGAGATGGTCTCATGCAATATGAATTTCCATCTTCTCCCTTGGTCCACATTGCCTTCCTTAGCTACTCGCTAATGAGCTGTATTCTACACCATTTCATCATATCAAGAACCCATCAAATTGTGCACAAGCTGAGTCTAGGATCTATGTAATGAACTGAAATGGCTTTTGAAGGCATCAAAGTCATTCCAGATGATTCACCACACATGAAATACAACTCTTCCCATTTGGACTTCTAAATTTTGCTCACACATCCCATGCCTTAACCTGTTTCTTCAATCTCATCTGCACAAACCTTGTTCAAAGGCCTTTCCAGTATCTTATCAGACCTTGAGACTTGTCTAGTAGCTCTTTTGGGTAGCTTGTCAGTCTGTAAGTATGTCTTTTCCCCCAATTGTGGTTATTCAAGCAAGTTTACCTCTGTTCTCTTTCACCCATCTTTATGATGTCAAAGACTGACTGAACCAGTGTGTTTTACAAAGAGAAACTCTCTCAACATCATATTATACTACTGGTAGGTAGTGGGTGTGTGGTCGTCAATCAGGAAGAGAGATACAGGCAGAGATCAATACAAGTAGGGTAAGTTGACTGGAAGGAGGGAAGAAGGGAGGAGGAAGTATTGCCCGGTGAAGAGCTGAAGAGTGGACATCGGCAGTTCATGCATAGTATGTATCATCATAGTGATCTCAGGTACATCCTGCTCCAAAGTGAGACCTCTAGATGGAACCATGAGGAGATATGAGGTTGAGAAGCAGAAGTGTCATTGGCGCACGGATGAAAATCACCCTTCACGCGGACATGACTTTTTACACCTGACTGTATCACTTAATCGAGTCCTTTAGTACCTGGGATTCAACCTCATCTCAGTATCTCAGCTCCACTTGCTTGGAGCAACAGTGGTGTTTGGTGGCAGGAAGTGCTCTGTCATGAAAGGTGAGCTCGGGGTACTTTGAGCACATAAAATGAACAAGGTGTATGTGGTGGAAGCTGGAGAATGGGCTGATTGAACGACCAATCTGAAGGACATGGCTCGGATCTTACCCACCTCGTTCATCCCACTACTCTTGCACTGGCAACCAATAACATCAAAGCCAGCAATACTCAAACGACCTGGGACATGTGGCATCCAGGCCTCGGTCATTTATCTGCCAGTGCCATGAAATCACTCTTTGGTCAAATGAGCAACAGAACCTCACTTGCTCGCTTCACACACCTTAAACATGTCTGTGAAGGTTGAATCATGGGAAAGATTGTGTACCCGGGTACCCGCTTTTCCCTCCAAGTGAATCACAAGCTGAAGCCATCCTAGACCTCGTTCACACCGACCTCTGGGGACCAATGGGAGTTCGCTCGGATGGAGGAGCACAGTATATGATGGTACTGGTGGATGATCATTCGAGATATACCTGGTAGTTCTTTCTCGCCCAAAAGTCAGATGCATTCGGTCGATTCAATGAGTGGCTTGCTTGAGTAGAACGTGTTAGTGAGCGGAAACTCAAATGTCTTCATTTGTACAATGGAGGAGAATTCACAAGCAAGGAGTTTGAAAGCTATCTTGCATTGCTCAGAGTAGAGCACCAAACCACAGCTGCCTACACTTCTCAGCAGAATGGAGTAGCAGAGCAAGTGAATTGAACTATTGTTGAACAAACAATTGCACTCCTCCACCCAGAGAAACTTCGTGTCACACTATGGGCAGAGATCATGGCAACTGTTGTGTATCTCAAGAATCGATCACCATCGCTCAATCAAAAATAAGACCCTGTCACAAATGTTGTTTCTTCTTCTCAGCTGACCGACGGTCGACAAACCTCAGCAAACTAGATCGTTGTGGGACGTCGAGTGGCAAAACAATAAGATGATCGTCGGGGAACTGCGGCTAACTTCGCGGTAGTACGTAGAACTGCTGGGTGGTAGCTCTCCTTAACTCGAAGGTGTAGCTACTGAATGTATCACTCGCTACTGACAAGAATCAAGGATCGCTGAAGAAGTTCAGCGATCTGTAAACTATCTATACTTCCACTCTTTTCTCATAGAACATCCTTCAACTCCTGCACAACCCCACGCTCAGTCCTCTTGGCTCAACTTCGTCGTACCTCCCCATATCCCCGATATCCTCCCCGCTCACTTCGACTAACTTCGACTAACTTCGCCTAACTTCCCCTACTCTGCTCCCTCTTGGTTCCTTCTCCTAAATTCGCCGTAGTTCTCCATTTGACGGTGTTGTTGTGACTAATAATCCCTAGGTTCTCGAAACTTCGTTGTAGTCGGTCTCAGTGGTTTGGGGTGGTGATGGATGGTGGTCCGGTGATGGTGAAAGGAGGGTTGGTGATGGTAGTTGTCAGGAATGTTACGACATGTTTCGTGACAGACCCCCTCTAGATGTTCGCGCATATCAAGCCTGAATTATCCAACACTCAGAGTTGTTTTGGATTTGCGGCTTGGGCGCTCGTTCGGAAAAGCGCTTGAGCTAGTAAACTTCAACCTTGTGCAACTTTATGCTGTCTCCTTGGGTATGCTCTTCCTCAAAAGGCGTACAGACTCTGGGATCCACTCACTCAAAAGGCGATGTCGTTTTTGATGAATCTATCTCACCACAGAGAATGCTTGATGATTTTTCCCCTTCAGACGCTTGACTCCCTCAATGGCCAAATCCCCTCTCACCCTACTCGCATGCTGCCTTTGCCGCTCACATCTCGTTCAATGAGCCTTGTTCTTGAGATGAAGCAATTTGATCGAATGACTCAACACAGTGGAAAACAGCTGCTCTGGACAAGATGAAGTCCCTTGAAAAGGTAGGTGTCTACCACCTGGTACCTCGCTCGGCCGCTCAAGGCAGGATTGTAACTTGCAAATGGGTTCTTAGGATCAAGAGAGTTGCCAATGGTGACATTGATTGGTTCAAGGCTTGACTAGTTGCTCGAGGTTCTACTCAACAACCTAACATTGATTATGATGAGACATTTGCTCCTATTGCAAAGTTTCAATGGCATATGTGGTTGGTTTGCTCGGTCGATTCTCAAATGACCCCTCTATCACTCATTGGGAAGCAGTGCTCTCTGTCTTACAATATCTCAAACACACCTGAATGATTGGTATACAATATGCGGACGGTGGGAGCGAGCATAACGGATTCAGTGATGCAGATTTTGCCACGAGTGATATCGAGCGACGCCGTTGTACAAGTGGTTATGTCTTCAGACTTTGGGGTGGAACCATCAGTTGGCAATCCAAGCTTCAGCCTTCTGTTGCTCTTGCCACAGGAGATGCTGAATATGTGGGACTCGCTCAAGCCGCTCAAGAAGCAATGTGGCTTTGTGTTACGACCTGGCTAACCAGCACCAGGCCATACACTGGTCATGCATGTGACATCTTATGCCACTGCGCTAAAAGGCACAATATTGCAATCAGCTGTATGATCGCGAGCCGGTTATAACCTGATGTCACGACTGAGGTTGCAGGGTCACTTTGTTCGCTCTTGTCAGAACTTGCATTCGCTCCCAAGAAAGCAATCAAACTTTATGGAGGTAATCAAGCATTGATTGCTATCGCTCAAAATCCAACTGGTCACTCTCGAGCAATACAAATTGATATTCAGTTCCATTATCTTTGTGAACTCGTTGAACGATTGATCATCAATATTGAGTATCTCTAAACTGCTGCAAGGCTTGCTGATGAACTCACAATACCCCTATCACTAACTTTGTTTGCTCGGTTCACAGAGATCTTTGGTGTCAAGGATACTGCCCCCCCTGGGACAGAGGATAAAGGACGAGGGGACGAGGACTAGGAGTGACAAGGAATCAACTTAAGTTAGAAAGACTGAGTCCAACAAGGAATGGGACTGTGACCCAAGGAATGTCTGTGGCTTGTCTTACAAGACTAGAGGGAACTGGACTGGACTGGATTGGATTGGACTCCAAAAGGGTGACAATGGATATGACTTTTGATCAAGAACTAAAGAAGACTACAAAGTCCTGAGTAGGGTTTATATAGACAAATCAGGCTTTCTACCAGGTTGAGCCGTCCTGCGTAGGAAAACACCGCAATCCTCGGCGTACCTATCATTTTCTAACTAGCAAAGACAGCATGCACACTATTCTTGGCCTGCTGCGTGTGATACGCTGTGGACTGCACGAGAAAGCAAGCATCACGTCGTAAATCATATGTTTGCCTTACATCCAACTGCAGTCTTGGGTCTCATGCCATACCCGGCATCATAACTGAAGATTAACTAACTAAAGGTTCAAAGGCATCAGAGCAGAACTCTGACACTATGACTCAACTCCTTCGCACCTAAAGTCACTGAGACTATGCATTACTTCCACTGCAAGCTCCATCATGATAAGGACTCTCCTCTCACGAGCAGCATACAGGGCAACGGAAGGGAGTTCATAATCAACTTTTCTATCTTCCCCGTCACGTATTCTGCCTCTTGATCAGATCAGCTTGTCTCCTGTCGCAATCAGTTGCGTACTTATAGCGAGTCCGGCTCTCACTAGCGAGATCGATATTCCGTATGACGAGGTAGCGAGCCTGTGATAAAACGTCCAGAAGGCTCAAATCAACTCCGCTTAAAGAAGTCGATTCTGATCTCAGTACTTATCGGTTACACACCTCTCGCCCGTCTCTCTCACATGTCACACCTCTCAAAGGCATCGAACATCATCGCATTGTTTCATTTCAAACAGGTCTTCCTAACCACATTCTATCTCGCTTATCCGTCTTATCCGTCCGCTTCCACTATCTCATTGATGTCTTCTTAGATGATACCCTCAAGTCTGAAATACTTAAATACCTCGCTTCAGTCTTTATCTCTTTCTCTCTCATCATTCTGTGATTGTAAGTGAAATTTCAAAGGTTAGTTTGAGTTCACTCATCATAACTCCATATACATACTGCTAAGTCATACAACCGACTGATCCGACTCGCATTACGTGACTCATACTACTAATATCCCTGATTAACTCAACCGTTCAGAGTTTCAAAGACTATATACACTGTAAAGAAAATCTCCAACAAGATGCCACGTAACAACTCTCAAGTTTCTTTAGCTCTTTCCTCTCTGACAGCACGGACCACAAACCAAGAAGACCTTGATGAATACATCTTGTCTCATCTTCCAGATGAGTACCATGAAGCAATAAATGGAAGTAAGTGACCTTGATTCTTAATCATCAATGATTCTCTTCTCCTCCTCATATTCTACCCTGAAACGAAGATTGACATTGATACCTCAGTGTTCAAGAGATACTTATCCAACGCATTGAGCAAACTCGAAGATGATCGACTCATGTTTTTTTCCGTTGGATCAAAACCCGTTTTGACTGGAATGTATCAAACGGCTCGTCAAAACTTGATCCAAAGTGTACGATCGTACATCCATGGAGAAGTTGATACTATCTTCACACCTGAGTCTCACACATCTTGTGATGTTTTGGATCCAATGACAGGATGTGGAAAAATCGAATATGTTATCAATGACTTAACTACGAAACTTGGGAGCATGTTATTAGCCATCTCGCCATTATCGGGAAGTATGCAATATCAACCCGAAGCCGTCAATGCCAATCAATCTAGGATGTCATATGCTGATAGATACAAGAATGGGTTACAACTTTTCAAATCTTTTTCAGACACCTATCATACACTCAAGATGGCTTCTAGATCATTACATATCACTCCTGAAAATGTCCTATCAAGCAAACAAGATATCATCAATCCCACTACTTTGTCGAAGGAACATATGTGTACGGAATCTCTTAACAAACTTACCACTTACTTAGAAGGTGATATAAATGGTCATTCACCACGAGAGATATTATTCGCGGCTCATAACGGAGTCATGGTTAAGAGTGGAACATTGGGTGTGAATCAATTTCAAGGGTCATGTCCAACATTGGATGCTATGGGAATTGATGTTTTGGGAAAACAACTGAGAGCTGTTCAAGTAGCTACAAGTAGGTTGGAACTCTCCATTTGGACAGCAGGGTTCTCCACTGAGGATATGATCAAGAATACGGATGGGATACCAGAGGTATTGAGCATAAGGAGAAAGGGGAAAGATCTCTTGAACAATCTAGCACTTGCGCATTCTTGACAAAAATCTTGGTCGTTGGTAATGTCGTTGTGTATGTCACAGGTGTGGATTTCTTTTGCACACTATTGCATAATATTTGGTGATACCCCATACCTTTGTATGTGAGTCATGCGGTTTCATCAGTCACAATCCCCACCCCCTGATGATGTGCTCTTCTTCCTTTCTGGATGAATTTCCAACCAAGCAGTGTCAGGTCTTTCAGTCTTACACCTTTGATCTCATGTCCCGAATTACAGAATGAAAGGTGTTATCCGGTTTGACATTTGACATTTTGTCATTTTGACATCATATGTCATCTTCATGTCATATTGTATGGAGTACCTTCACTACTTTGTTTCATCATTTGACATATATCAACACATCCCCCACCTGATCTGATCTTTGTCTTTCATTCCTCACTTTTCTCATTATCACCTCCAACAATTGACTAATCGATTTCTTTTCCCAACAACTGATTCTTCAGTACTCAAGTCTTACATATAACACACTAATCCAAATACAGTGGCTTCACAGTCAACTCACACGTGAAAAATATCTGCCATGGTCATCCGTGATACTCTCATCAATTATAATGAGTATCTTGAAGATAACAACCATCCCACCATGTCGGACATTCAGAGCATGACCACAGCCCAAAGTCTGAGTCCATCAGAAGTGACTCACTGGCTGTTATCCCAAGGTCAGACTGTTGACCTGGATGGGAAGCGTGAGAGTGAGTCTTGATCTACTTACCTGTATACACTCTCTACTCTTTCTTTTTTTTTTAACAAGAGATCAAGAATGGAATACATACATGATTGTAATACAAACCTGATTGTAATACAAACATGATTGTAATCTTCACTTTTTCCTTCAAGCTCTTTCTCCAGCACTCACGAATCATCCTGGTCAATGACAGAGTCTACTTCATCTCCCTTGTGAGACTTGAATGATCCGCAATCATTTTCATCATGACAAAAACTGATCTTATACAGAGTTTCACAATTACCTCTCCCAAGCCAAAGCCTTCTTGGAAGATGAAACTCTCTTTCCCACCAACTCTCCCCCTGAAACAGAACTGGCAAAAATATTTCAATCTGCTAAATCAAACTTGATTGCCACTTTAGACAAATACGCTTCTGGTGCTGCCGATAAGGTCTTCTCCTATGATGCTCACGGTGAGAAAGACTGTAGTGCTGTGGACGACGAAACCGGTTGTGGGGTAGGTGAAATGTTCATTCGTGAATTGTCACAGAATTTGGGAAATTTGGCATTATCTGGAATCCCATTATCCAATCTTGATCAAGAAATCTCCCGTGGGTCTACATCAAACATTCTCAATCCGACGGTTAGGCATGCTTATGGTATCTATACACGGCCAAAGTCAGAAAAAGTGGATCATGATCAATCATCTAATCCGTTCGACTCAAAGTCTGGCTCTGACTCTGAAACAAACACTGACTCGGAAGATAGTGATTTGGATTTGGTCATTGCCAACAAGAGTTTCCTGGCTCTTTTGGGAAAAGCTTATATGACAATCACAAACACAACAACCGCTATTCATACAGAACCGTCTGAAGTCCTCAACAAAGATATTGAAATACTCAGTCATCAAAGACTTGGCAGGAATCATATGGACACTGAAGCTGTTTGCACCGCAATGAAAACAATCGAAGGTAAAATCGACGGGTATAGACCGAGAGACATCATCAAGTATGCCCTGTCTGCACATCGTTTTCGATCAAAGGCTCATCAGTCAGATGTTACTTTGGAGAAGAGACGATCCTTGTTGTTAGAATGGAGCAGAAAGCAGGAACCTCAATTGCCAAAGCTGGGATTTGTGGGCCGGGATACTCAGGTGAAAGTCGTTCGTGCGGCCATGGCTAGGATCGAGTTATCTACTTGGGGAGTTGCGGATTTGACTCGCAATTCCGTCACTCGGCCGTTTGACGGATATGACGTGTTGAGTCTTCGTCGATTGACAGAGGAGATTTGTGAGGGGATCACGACGGGATGGAGACTTGATGCCAAGGATAAGGTAGAAGAATGATGGTCAATCGTCTTGCTCTGCTTGCTGAATTCCATATTTTGTACATATGTTTGACTATGTCAAGGGACTCAATCCACAATTACAGATTGCCAGCGGAAAGTCAGAAATCCTTAGTACAGAGCTGTCTGTAAGAACGAACGAGATGCACGTACTTATTACATCTAATGCAAAGTCACGCCTCTACAGCTGCCGAGCTACTCGTCTCCCCCTCGACCTGCTTGCCCTTGTGTTTCGGCGGTCTTGGTCGACCCCAGACCACTTTCGCTCTCTTCCCCTGCACCTCCATCCCTCCTTGCGCTGACAGCGCTTCGGCCACGCGTTCAGCGGTCGCTCGAGTGACAAAGACGATAAATGCGCAGTGTGACGCTTCGACGACGGAGATGGTCTTGATGTCGATGGGTTTGAGGAAGGGGCAGGTGAACATAAGCGCGGAACGGACGTGGCTGTCGGTACATTTGGGTAGACCGAGGAAGATCAGGGTAGTCTGAAGTGAGTACAATGGACTATACCTGGTGCGACCATATCCAAGACGCGGAGAAAGGTATGAGGAAGGGACAGCCCGGTTTAGCATGATGCTCATGTAGGATTTGTAGCATTTCGGGATCAGATGGCGTGGGATGGGAAAGAAAAACACACTCACCACAGACTTATCCTCCGGTGCCATGAGACCTTTGGATTCAGCATGTTGAGTCAAAATCTTCTTGGCCACCGGATCGTTTCGACCATAGTACCGATCCGCGAGTTTCTGATTTTGCAAACCGTTCTCCTCTGGTATCTCATGTCTGCTTGTCAGCAAGCCCCCGGTTTGGACGCGATCGTCGAACACCATCCTGTGGGGAGAAGGGAGGGGGGAAAGACATCATGGCCAACAGTACCCACCTGAACGGACAATCTGCACCTCTCTTACAGTCCCCTTTGACAAAGAAAGAACAAATATGCGGTCTATTCCGTTTATAGTAAGGATCCGACCTGGCAATATTCTTGAGCATCTCTTTTCCCGCTCGGTTTGCCACTTCAGCGTCAAAAGTCGTTCCATCACCTGATCGTTCCATTTGTGATTCCAGACCTTGGATGTAATATTCTGAGTGGTCAGCTCAGAATTGACCTGCAGAACATGGACAACTAACGTTTATTGATATCAGTCGAGGGTGCACCGTTCTTTCTTCCCAGAGCAGCGTCACGGACTTGAACTGGGAGACCGAATTCACTGTGATAGTTAGCGAGGCCTTTTACGGTATCTGATTCCTTCGAAGTCTAGCAATCGAATAAGAGTGCCCTCGCCTCTACTGGGACCAACATAATTGCTCGACAGAAAAGGCGCAAGATGTACAATGGGTCAAGTGATCAGGGAGAGAGTGATCAGGGAGAAAGCAATCAGAGAGAAGAACAACGTACAGATCTAATAGACATGTCTGACATACTCCCTTTATCTTTGCACAAGTCGTACAAACTTCCGTCTTTTTATACCTGGCTCCCGCACCTGGGTTCCACCGGAAGACTGTGAAAGGGCGATTACAAATCTACCTGTCAGCGTGTATCTTCCCTCTGCCTCTGACGATGCAAAGTCGCTTGGAGATTCGAGACAGACCTGACAGTTGGATAAGAAGAAGATGAGAAGAGAAAAGAGATGTTGAGGCAGAAGGCACGGTACTCACCTTGCATTCTGAGCCAAACTCTTGTTTACTCTGCGGTGTCAGATCGTAGTAATCAGAAATGTACTGAGAATGACGTACCATCCGCAGATAAGGGTTCTCCCCCAAACCTGTACCTGTCAGCTCATTATTACCATACCGACTCTATGACTGACATGTTTCGCACCTGCGAGTCAGCTGCGATCGCACGCACAAGCGGAATAGGACGTACAGGATGGGGAAGTCTGAACTCTCCACGCCGACTTTCTGAAGGGTCAGCTGGACTTCCCGCCTCGAAAAAGCAGCTCACGTTGATATCATGCTTTGCAGGCATTATGTCCCGGAGCGATATATGAGGAGAGTGATCAGGATACTATGCTCTATGTTAAAAGTAGGCGTGTATAAAACAAGGGGGAAAGAGGTGAGTGAAGAGTTGGGTGGCCAATCAATGACGTGGCAATTACACGCCGCGGTAGATTGATAAGCTCCTTCCTAGCGTCCTCCCCGCGCTATCCCTCTGCATCTATATACTTCTTACTTCCTCTTCTATACCACTTTTCTGGCCATCGAGGGTTATATTGGCACTGCATCACCTACGATATGGACCCATACTATCATGCTTCCACCGCCGGGCCGTCACAACCTCCTCCCCCTCCCCACCTAGCTCCTCATTCTCCCGTACCTCCCTATCCACCCGCTTCAACCCCTTATCGACACTTCCCTCTCCCCAAGCCCTTCCCAGCGTTCAAATCTCAGAGTCAGGCCCAGACCAATCAAGTAGATCTTACCTCTCCACCTCCTCCTTTCAGCTCTTTTCCCCCACATGAACCCCTTCTACCGACAAGGGCCCCGAGAACACGTCCTAAAAACAGAGGAGGAGGTCGTGGTCGAGGACAACTCTCAGGACCGCGTTCAGCTTCTGCCAGACAGTCAACGAGGATATCCTCTAGACCTACACCTGTCAGTGGAGGCGGTGGGAATGCCGGTGTATCCAAGCTCAAACTCTCATTCAAAGCTTCTGGGAGTGATCCATCGACTAGGAAGACGAGCTTCTTGGGGGAGTATGACAGGGAATTGGATGATGATCCTAATGAACCACTTTGTTTTGAGGAACAATGGATTTTAAGGGTTCCGAAAGAGGTAGCTGAAGGTCCCAATGGATTGAGGGAGATCGTCAAGGGGAAAGGAAAGGGGATGGAGGGAGTGGAGTTCAAGTTTTTAGGTGAGATTTACGTCTTCTCCTCCCTGCTAGCAGGGTAGAGCCACGGGCATAGAAGATCAATCACTTACTGGTAGACTCGCGACGAGCAACATTCAAGTTCAACGGCGTCACCTACGCAAGCAAGCTGGTCGATCTGCCTTCCATCATCGAGTCGCAAAAGACACATGACAACAGGCATTTGTTCAAAGTAGCAGATATCTCCCAAGTAAGCTCTTACAAACCTACCCCAGCGTTGCGTGTCGTCCTACTCTCACATTTTACTCTTTCCTTCTTAGGTGAAACGCCCGTTGTCGCTGTAAACCTACCTGCACCTCTCCAAACGGTCGGTGATCTGGAACGGGCGGCGCAGCGAACAACGAAATGAAAATCATCTGACTTTTGAGATGCTAGTGGTCACTCATCCAGTCAAAGATGAATCCACCATCACCTCCGCCCCGCTCAAGATCGACGATTTCATCTGGCCACATGGCATCACCCCTCCTCTCCGTCACGTAAGAAAACGAAGATTTCGAAAACGTATTTCCAGACGGACGATTGAAGTGGTTGAGGAACAAGTGGAAGAATTGTTGAAGAGGGATAAAGAAGCTGACGAGTCGACTTTTGGTTAGTCATCTTCTCTGTCTCACTTCTCGCAGGTCGTGTAAGAACGAGTGAGATTGACTATATCCTGACTGATAGATCTCATCGAAGCCTTACCCGATCCTGAAGCTCCTGATCAGTATTATATAGACTATGACAGTAACGTCGGGTGGGTTCATCCGGAAGGTGGATCAGAAATGGGAGAATCAGAAATGTACGAGGATCCAGGTTCGGTGGCTCAATCCATGGGAGAATGGGAAGATGGTACTGAGGGTGAAGGGGAGTATGAGGAAGATGGTTTGGATCGGGAATTAGCTAATATGTTGAGAGAAGAGATGGTGAGTCATGTCGATTGAATACCCCTTTGGACAGTACATATTATCCCGGTATGATAATTACCTCGTGATATGGCTGACTGTTTAGAACGAAGGTTCTGACGCTGGGGCTTCCGGTTCAGAAGGGGAAGACGAGGATGAAGATGAAGAAGCTGCGGGTGGGACTGAAGATGAAGATGACGAAGAAACAGCGGAAAAGAAAGCAAAGATTAGACAATTCACGAGTGAAATCAAGAATATCGAAGCTACTATTGAAAGAAAACGAGCTGGGTTTACAGGTGGTAATCCTATAATGCAGGTGGGTGTCTCTTCTTCCTCCTATCCTCCCTTCCTTCTCATTGTATATCAGCTCATGATGCTCATTTCACCCACGTCATTCTTTACAGTATCCCCCACCCCAGTTGATGGCTACGTGTCTCTCTATCAGACTTTGATCTGTCTTGAAAATATTTATTTGAAAATCGCAAGCTAAACCTTCAGAAACGTTTTGAAGAAACTCTAGCTGGTTTATTAATTGACGTCGTACGTAAAGCCGAAGCACGTCGAGTCCTACAAGCAGAATTAGACGCTATGAAACGTCCTGAACAATCACCTAAAATTCCATCTCCTTCTCCCATTTCACCCGTTCTCCAAAATATACAAACCCAACCTGTTCAAGTGGAAGAAGGAGAAGACGAAGATTTGTTCGGAGATGCAGATGCGGAAGGTGAAGAAGAAGTTGTTCAACTTGATACAATTGTTCCAATTCCTGATCAGCCCAAAGTCGTTCAACATGGACCAGTCAAAGATCCTATCGTGACGAATGGAGTTGATGAAGGTGGTGTGGAGGGAGGGGTTTTACAAGTACAAAATGTGATTGAGGAAGAGGATTATGAGGGGGAAAGGGATATGGATGATGATGAGATGGCTGCTATGTTAGAGGAAGAACTTGCAAGACCTGTGGATATGGATATGGACGTGGACATGGGTGTGGGTGTGGGTGTGGGTGCGGGTGTGGGTGTCGATGGTGCTGGTGAGGGTGGAGAATCAGATCAAATCCTTAATACTTTCGTAGATCCTATCGGAGGAGATTTTGGTGATTCAGATGGGATGGGTATAAGTGAAGAAATAGGAAATCAAGAACAACAACCAAAACCACCAAATGTATTAGGTTCTTTTCAAGTAGAAGGTGGTGTAGGTAGAAGACGTTTAGCTGTGGAAGAGGAAGAAGATGATGATAGTGATAGTGATGGTGATGATTCTGATGATTAATCTACCCTCATACCAATTGTAAATATTCTCAATCACCTCGCATCATGAATGTATCTCCAGTGTAAACATATGCATTGAAATATCTTATCTCATTGGAATCATTATAGATGATGAGCTTTTACCAAAATGGTTGAGATATAAATTATTTACCATCCCCCTAAACCTATTCCTAACCCATCATTTTGTTCCAAAATCGCTTTCAAATCCACCCCACCATTGACCGAATCAACTTTATCTTCCACACCATGTTTCTTTCCTTTAACAGACTTTGATACGCCCGTGGTATTCTTGCCTTTAGCGTGAGAAGAGGGAAGATGATTTTCAATGATTTCCACAATTGCTGAACGGTCTCCATGAGGTTGAGAAGGTTTGACAGTAGAAGGATCGACACTATCTGTATCTATTTGATTATTCTTCAATAATGAAGATTGTCGTAATTCCTCTGAATGGTTTTGTTTGGGGTTTGAGGAGGGTTTAATCGATTGGTCTGATTGGGAGGATTTGGGTTTTGTTGAATTAGTCTCTGACTGAAATTTCTTATTTTTGACAAGTGAGGGTTTTATCGGTTGATCGACCCATGTTTGTTCAGAGAGTGAGAGAACTTTATCGGAAGGATCAACTTTAAGACGTTTCGTTGATGTTGGATTTTGGTCATTATGTTCTTTTTCCAGTAAACGTTTTTTCTTCCGCTCGTTCACCTGGGATTCAATCGACTTTGTCTCATTTCCTTCCTTACCTCGTCCATCTTTTCTACCTCTTTCCCCTATGTTCGTACTTCTGTCGGACTTCGATGACTTTGTTCTCTTATCTTCGAATCCCATATCTCCCCGGATCGAACCATCTTCATCCAATATTCTCTCCTTCTGCTGATCATCTTCTCTAAGACCCACACCCCATTTCCTCATCTTTCCTCCACGTAAATTCTCCCCACTTGGTTTCATCCACCTTTCCCGTTTTTCTCTCATCTTTCTATCTTCTTTCGATTCTTGTATCTCCCCAATACGTTTCCTCTCTCTGATCCGTTTGTTATCGATTATTTGTAGATTCGGCATATTGGCACTTGACAATTTATCAACATACGATGGATCTTCTTCTGTTAAAGGGTTCCCACGAAGTGTTAAACTACGTAAGTTTCCCCATCTTGAATTACTTTTCTCATTCGAGTCAGAGACGGAGGTGTCGGAGGGGAAGAAGGTGAGTACGGAGAATAGTGAGAGGGAACAATTTCCTATATCAAGAACTTCTAAACCTCCTCCTTTTCCTACTTTTCCGATTTGGGTAAAATCACCAGTACCCCATGTTGATAGATGAAGAGGGAGAGAGGTTAGGAGAGGGAGAGAATGCATTTTCACATCTCGAAGAAGAGGTAGTGAAGAGAGATCAGGTATAGAGGAAGGGGTAAGAAGTGGACAATGAGAAAACGTCAGTTTTGATAGATGGGAAAGGGAAGATAAAGAAGAAGGAAGAAGTTTTAAGAGAGGAGAATGGGAGATGACTGATGGTCAGTAAAGTACATTATTCCAAAAAGATTATGAAAGGAGAATGACACATGATTGATGCTGGGGCTTTCTCTCCACTCGGACTTTGGGAACCGATGACGTGTGGTCGGATGAACAACGAATGGACAAATGGTTCATCCCAGGTGGAGAGCACATACGCTGGATGATG